AGATATTGGTCTCTTGCGGAGATAATGCTGGTACTCATAGAGCCCTACAGTTGTACCAGCCTGGTATATATGTATCATTTTCTGTTCATTGAAATTTATCTGCGCAGCTGCTAATGACAGGCGATTATGTATGTATTAGGCCTAACTCCTGTGATAAAATCCTATATCTTATCCTTTTCCTTTGCTTTTTTAGCAATGTGTTGTTCTTGGCTGGTATTTTCAGGGCCCTCTTCTAGATGACTTTTTATTCTTATGTCAGTAGATTAAATGTATGGACTGTCTAACTTGTGTATGTGCGTATATTAGATTCTGCCTCCACCCATCTTACAATTTATACAAGCTGAAGAACCCTAATCTTTCTTGTGTGTACTAATTCATGACCTCAACGTTGCATTCCAAATTAGTGTGAAGATCAGAATCTAAATATGTGTGTGTAAGTCTTATATATAGCATATATGGCCTTCGGGATATAAATTGAAGCGAGATGCTCGCAAAGCTGTCCATATGGGAATCTATCTATGTTTGCCTTATCTCTGAAACACAATCCACTTGTATGTCAAAGTTTATGATATATTGTAGATTAAGGATATACAATTGGAAAGCATGCAACAGCCTATAAAATGTAATCAATAAATGGAGAATACTAGGCTATATTCTGAATCTCACTGCACAGTTACTTTGTCCTTTTGTTATTGTTATCTGTGCAGCTGCTATAGTATGCTTTTCATTATCTCGGGTCTAGCTTATTTATGTAAATCACGCAAAATTCATTCCCATTATTATCCTCATTGGATTCTTTAAGAGCACACTGTTATGTCATCTTGCTCCAATGGTAGAGATGTGTCTACCCTACTGCTATAGAATAGCCACTCACTTTTGAATCGTGTGGGTTACATTTCACCCTGACTCATCTCTATTAGTTTCCTGTGATCTTCACTCTGGAAGTCTCTTGTACTCACAAGGTATCGTGCTCTAGAATACGACCATAAGTCAGCCTGATTTGGCTTTATTTTATAGATGTGGGATTAGCGTCTTACCAGCTTTGGTGACCTATGGGTTTTTGCCTCAAACATGTATAATGTAAGACAGCTTCAGAAATTAGCTAGAACATTAGTAGGTTATTTAGCTTTGTCAAGTTAGATAAGGTAGATGACACAAAGGAAGAGCTTCCAGTGAAGAACTGATGATTAGATAATTATAAAAAAATTAATTTATGACTAGGATACAAAGATTTTTAACTAACCTGAGATAAAAGAGTAATCAAACATTAAATTCAATATTTTCTAGCAATAATTAAGCAGGGGGTGTTTTGCCTAGGAGCTCTCCAACAGTATCAGATGAGACGGTTGAAAAATAAAAACAAGTAGGCCACCAGGTAAGTTCACCTCTGCACTGTCAATTATTATTTTTACAAGGACCATCAGCACGTGACTTGGGTGCTTGTTTTAGCTCAAGCATGCTAGGTACTTATGGCGTGTTTGCCTTACCACCGGTATGACCACTGTTTAGTTCTAGGGTGTATCTCTCAGCACTTGCTCTTGCTCGGTAGTGTTCATCTCTACTCTCCTTCGTGTATAGATCATGTCCTGTTGTGCCTAGGTTCCTCCGTGGTCCCCATTTTAGGCTATTTGTGCATCTGTTTCCTGAGGATTTGTAAGGCGCTCCACTGCAGGGAAAGGATAAAAAACGCGCAAGTAGATCATTCAAATTCCTCTGCACCTCTTAGTTTCTTTCATAGCAGCCAAACTCTGTGATATTTATTTTCAAAAAAACAATCTGATTTTTGCTCTGGGAGAACTTGTTTACCTCTAGACAACACTACTATACTCTTCAGCAAGACTTTTTTTCTGTATATTGTATGCCTGTTACGTCAAGATAACTTTTTGCTTCAAAATTTGGCAATTAGCTATTTTTATGACCTTTGTCTTTTCCCTTGAATCTTGTAAATAGGTCCGAGAAGTTGGCATGCTGATTATGACTATTAAGCAAAGAAGCATCACGTTCAGTCAGAGAGAATGTGCGAAATGTTATAAAATCTCAATAATGCAGAGGGACTGATGTCATAAAGGAACTACTGCGCGCGTCACTAAGTTTTGGGCGGTTGGAAAAGAAATGGTATTTAAGCCTAGAAGCAGATTTAGAGTCAGAAGAGATAGCAAGCAAGAGCAGACAGAGGATTGAGGCGCTGTTAGGTGTACAGCTGCAGGGTATGGCAGCACTACAACAGTATACCATTATCTCCTAAATAGAAGGGACCCATCACAACCTTAAACCGAAAACATTTCTATGCTCAAGTTTTGTATTGGATCTTTCAGAGCCGAAATTTGATAGTAATCACTGTTTTCTTTGAGCGCATGCCTGTCGTAGCCCCCCGGTGTGGGTAGGTGGAGACGAAGTAAGCCGGGGACTTAAAGGCATGCGCCAACCATATGAGAAAAGTAGTTTTTATTCATTATATAGTTCCACACTTGTAAAGCAGAGGAGAAATGAACGACCCTATTTTCTGTGCGGGTATATAGTAACTAGAAGACTTATGGTCTTGCAGAGGAGCTTTGGAAGAGCTGAGTGTATATTCTAGAGGGAAAAATGAGCTATTTTCCTTAATATAAAATTATACGCTTAGTGGGTAACCTTAGACCTTCATATTATTATCTATATATTAGGTAGCCTTTCCCTAGGAAAAATGTGTTGCTTTTGGGGGAACTCCAGATTGGTCTCTCATAGTAGAGATCAGAGGAGCGATCTTGTATCATTGTGTGGTCTGAGTATAGACTGGACACCTCCAGTCAATGTGTGCTGTGTCCGGCCTCTAGAGAGCACCTTGCGTAAACAGGAAGGCCACAGCCACGTAGTGCTTCTGGTGTCATAGAATGCTACAACCGAGTCCACTTACAAGTTCTCCTTGGCATTTGTGTGTGTGTGTCAAACCAGAGCCTGAACTGCACAGTTCTTCTTTGGTGAAGGAGAGCCAAACTTTTTCAACATTGTGATTATCATGACTTGTGAAAATCTGACGCACCTAGAATCTAATTTTTGTATATTGGCGAAAAAAGTCTATGCAGTTGTGTTTGATTCTATTTGTCTTTGGCAGCGCCAAGTCAATGCTTACAAGTGTGTGCAGCTCTCCCCCATGATCAGCACGTCGCATACGTTGCATCCATGTTAGCTTGCTATCGTGTCTCGAATTACTTAATACCCGATCCTCTGTCACTCTTCTCTGTCACCACGAATATACAGTGCGGGTCATCTTGTTTTATGTGTGTTAATGTATGTGTGTGTTACTTTCTGGGTCACTAATGTTAGCTAATATATTACGGCGTCGATTCTGACATGCTTCTTAAGTGTTTATTACACAGTAATGTATTTAGGATAATGGTTGTTTTTGAGGATCATGGTGTAGTCTTTCGTTTGTTTCACGTCCAGCTAGAGTGTTGTGGCTATTCCTTATCATGTAATACGCTACTCGACTTACACTCAAGAATTGTGGCTCCAGCTCTGCGTCAAAGTGATCTTTACTCGCCTAGGAGCTCGAGCTGGAATACATATGGAAGGTTCTATTGAGTATGCACCATCTTTTGATGTGTAGCTCTGTCCAATCTAATTTTTTCAAATTTTTTGGGTATATGTATATGTGGGTCTTGTCTATATGTTGGTTTTTTTATGGCTTGGTGGCGACTACAAAGTACAACTTCTATGGAGAATATAGTAGATACCTCAAGAACTAAAATTATGAGACTACCATTTTTTGATGTTTGTAATCCGCTACTTGTATTGACCAAAGGCATACAACTTTAGGTCTCAACAACCCCCTGCTATGGCTTCTTCTTAAAAATTCTGTTAAACTGATAAGGCAGGAGACATATTTTGCGACCTACCCACACTCCTGCCTAATTAGTCTTAGTTTTTATGACCTGATATCTGCATGTGTAGTGACCTTTAGACGTAGATTTCATCTTTGTGTGTGGATTCTGTTACCTGATAATTGTAAATTAATCATGTCTCTATCCTATATGGGAAAAGACAGTCTTTTGCATTGATTAGGTTAGAATAACACACAGAGACGCAGTAAGAGCCACACCCATCAACTTCGTTCTGTTAGTCATTGAGTTATAACCAGTTTATTATCTATCCAGCAATGAAGAACATCATTACTATATTCTGAAGATCTCCACCTCACCTGCTCTGAGACCTCATATTCTTGCTTTAACAGATAAACACTTTTAGCGAACTTTTTATAGCGTGTGTTAATGCCTCCTTCTTCTTTGAGTCTCACCAAGCCCTATCCGTCTTCATCAGGCCCACGAACATCATATAGTAGGCATCTTTTTGAGTGACTCTTGTGTTGTAGCATCTCTTAGTTTGTTGCGCCGCGATTTGCCCTATAGTCTCCCATGTCCTTTCTCCCTTTGCAGTTCATTTTAGAATTCTGGGAATGACAATTCCCTTTTTTGTTTGATTGTATTCATATGCAGTCAATATGGTGCTTCCTCTGTTATGGTGTATCACAATAAGATAGTATAGGAAGTCTGAGCTCAACTCCTAGTATATGCCTTGGTAGTAAGATTGCGGATAAGAGTACATACATCACACTTATGGCAAAGATAGGAAAAAACCAATACTTAGACATTAATTTGATGTGTAGGATAATATATGGTTATTTTTACTTATTTTCTGTTATATGTAATTAATTTATTGAAATGATCAACTTAGGATCACCTTACCTGCTATATCGCTAATTGTTGATTATGAACTAGTGACATTTCAACAGTAAGCTATTTCGTTATTATATACTTAGTCTTTCTTATGTCTGTTTCATACGACAATAGATAGAGTATCATTACTCCTTCATATACTGTACAAAGCAACCAGATTTAGTGGTTTATTAATTAAAAGTCCAATAATTAGGAACTCCACAAATTTTTCTTTTTTATTTTCTTCATTTTGTGGGAGGGAGGGAACAACAGGCAAAAAAAAAAAAAAAAAAAAAAAAAAAAAATCCAAAACCACCCCCCTAAAAAAAAAACCAAAAACCCATGATAAATTAAAACCAAAAATAAATATTCTTCTGCACAGAGTTGAAAATTATTGTGCAAAGGTGGCATCTTGCAGGTGAAGCACTTTCATTGGATTTGTATCTCCATATATTGAGGCACCGGCAAAGAATAAAATTTGTTCTAATGTCTTCTCAAGCTGTACAAAGCTCCAAAGTCATAAGCTTTCCAGAATACAAGGGAGCATACGCAAGACTGTCTTCTACATGTTCACCATATATGGGATTCACAATGTGTCATTTTAATAACTCCTACACCACCCCCTAACCGACGGTAATTCATCCCGCCATACAACCTGCAAAGGAAGACACAAAATCAGATTTTCTAACCAGAAAAAAAGCACTATTTCTTCTATAACTAAGATGTTAACCAAACACATTTCTATGTTTTATATCACAATTAATATTTTAGTTTCATACTGATATTTTCTCCATTCCAAAGATTAGAAGCTGGAAATGAGCACTAGTAAGTAGCAAAAGTATTTCAGACATTGACTGAAATGATCTCACTTATAGGAGGCTATGTGAAGAATAAGAGAGCATCATATTCACCTTTTTTTTTTTTTTTGACAGAGTCTCACTGTGTTGCCCAGGCTAGAGTGCCGTGGCATCAGCTTAGCTCAGAGGAACCTCAAGCTCCTGGGCTTAAGCAACCCTACTGCCTCAGCCTCCCCAGTAGCTGGGACTACAGGCATGCGCCACCATGCCCGGCTAATTTTTTCTCTATATATTTTTAGTTGTCCAATTAATTTCTTTCTATTTTTAGTAGAGATGGGGTCTTGCTCTTGCTCAGGCTGGTTTTGAGCTCCTGACCTTGAGTGATCCGCCTGCCTTGGTCTCCCAGAGTGCTAGGATTACAGGTGTGAGCCACCATGCATGGCCCATATTCACTTTTTGCATAGAACTTGACAACTTTATACCTCGACTGGCTTCTACCCATTATAGAGAATCATAATTTCTACATTTTTGTGTCTGATTTTGCCCCTGGCTGTATTATTTTACCATCCACGTTTTCCCTGTGCCTAAACTTCCTTAATAATTTATTTTTATACCTTTGTCTTGTATGTACTCTTGTAAGCCTCCTCAAATCCTTTATGGCAGTGGTGCCAACTTTTATGGCACCAAGGACTGGTTTCATGGAAGACAATTTTTCCATGGACCAGGGGTTGGGGGGGATGGTTTCGGGATGATTCAAACACATTACATTTATTGTGCAGTCAAACCTCTCTGCTAATGATAATCTATCTGAATTTATAGCCATTCCCCAGTGCTAGCATCACCACCTCAGCTCCACCTCAGATCATCAGGCGTTAGATTCGCATAAGGAGCCACAACCTAGATCCCTCACATGTACAGTTTATAGTAGGGTTCATGCTCTTATAAGAATCTAATGCTGCAGCTGATCTGATAGGAGGTGGAGCTTATGAGGTGATGCGAGTGATGTGGAGTGGCTATAAATACAGATGAAGCTTTGCTTGCTGGCCCATAGCTCACCTCCTGCTGCATGGCTCGGTTCCTGAGAGAGAACTGAACTGAACCTTTATGGAATAAAGTAAATAAAGTCAGTATCTAGTTTGTGACATGTGAACAAGATCACCTTCAAAATTAAGTATCTCCTGTTCGGTGCAGCAGCTCATGCCTGTAATCCCAGTACTTTGTGAGGCCAAGGTGAGAGGATCACTTAAGGCCAGGAGTTCAAGACCAGCCTGAGCAACATAGTGAGACCCTGTCTCTACTAAAACCAGAAAAATTAGCTGGGCAAAATGGTGCATGCCTCTAGTCCCAGCTAGTTGGGAGGCTGAGGCAGGAGGATCACCTGAGCTCAGGAATTTGAGGTTGCAGTGAGGTATGATGATGCCACTGCACTTTAGCCTTGGCAATAGAGCGAACCCTGTCTCAAAAAAAAAAAAAAAATAACCATTTTTTCAAAAAGAAAAAAATTAGTGACTTGCATTCTTTTACATTTTTATACATTTTTGTACATCCTGTAATTTCTTGCTTAATAGAAAGCAGCTGGATTCTCATCTGCTTCTGCATTCAGTCTTTTGCAATATATTATTTTGGTTGAAGTATGTGAAAGAAATATAGCTCATGCAAATATGAAATTGGAAGAGGAGGAGTATCTTAGTAGCCCTTATGATAATTATGGATCTTCTTGATACTACTCTAAAACTTGACAAGTGATTGTTGAAATTGAAACCATATCAATGGAGCTTTCATACTGTTCCCCATAAGATCCATTGATCTGTCTTACACTTTGGATGCACTGGTCATTTAGAAAAATTGGTTCCATGAATTATGCAGATCTTCCACATATTGACACATTTCACTATACAATGTAAAAAAGATGATATTCATCAATCAGTGTCATCACCAATTTCATCAGAAAATTCTTCAGCTGTAGTGGTTGATACAGCTTTCCCCAAATTCTAATTTTCTCTTGAATGTTATTGACAATCAGTACTGTCAGTTGTTTACCTTGAAGAGATAACCTTGCTTTGTTAATTTTGGAGAAAATGTCTGCCAAAAACCAAGTCTGTATTCAGACACAAACCTTAGTATGTGTGTCATTCTTTCAAAAAGTAGCTAATTCTGCTTGCAACTCAATCACACAAGATTTTTCTTGTGACGACCACTGTATTTTGGTTTGCAGCAGTGTTTTATACATCCCATTTTTTCACACAAGATATCTAAAAAAGACATATACAGGGGTTAAGATTTAATAAATTATAATTTTTATTGCTTTATTAAGGAATTTTTTTTATTTTAAAGAGATGGGGTCTTGCTATGTTACCTAGGCTGGTCTCAAACTCCTGGGCTCAAGAGATCCTCCTGTCTCAGCCTCGAGTAGGTGGGATTACAGGCATGAGCTACTGTGCCTGGCAAGGACATTCTTAAGCAAAATTGTTTTTAAAATTGCACGTCTCTGGCGGTAAAGAATACTATACCTCCTTGTACTGTTTGGTGCCATTGCCTTGATTTGTGCTAAGGCACCAGCAGTTTTACCCACTCTAGCTTTTATACCATTAGTGCAAATGTCACCACAGTAAAAAAGGCAACAATTACTAAGAAAATAGCTTTGACTTGTAGATACTTTGAAAGACTCTTGAGGCCTTCAGCCCTTCACAGACCACACTTTGAGAACCACTGATCTAGAGGCTTGATCAAAGTCAGGTTTGAAACTAAGGTTTTTGAAGGCAGGTAATGTTCCTCTTTTAGTAAAAGTCCAAATGTTTATTGATCTAAATCCACACTGAAGATATGTGTCCTCTTTTCCTAGGAATTCAGACTTACATACATAAACATTCTTTCTAGGATAAGGCTATTAATACGTTAGTGACTGTTACTGGAATAACTTCAAATATATGTTAGTTCAATGAATACTATCCCTTCTTTTTGATATTTAAAAGTGTCTAAGCTTCAACCTTAAGTTGCTAAATAACTGAAAGACAGTTACTAAGCACTGGCCAGACAGCTTAGTTAAGGAGTTTTGTCATTTCAAGGGATCATTATCAATCATTTCCAGAATAGCCCCTCAAAGCAATTTAAAGAGCCAGTTGTCACAGAGGGACCTCTTTCTTTTCACAGTGGCCAGGATGTATTTTTTGCAATGGATATCTGAAAGTAAAACATATGGAGCAAAACTGTGAAACAATCATTTAAAAAAAAAAAAAAAAAAAGGAATGTAGGAATGTGTTTAGAGCACAAAAATTATGGAATTGGGGATGTGGCTTTGAGGTTTGGCTCCTACTATGTCATTTTAACTTTTCTAAGCTTCAGTGGACTTATTTATAAAATGAGGATGATTGCCAACCCAATCCCTAGCCCAAGCTTACTAGAGTTTTGGAAATAACCATTCATATAAGTTAATAAACCTATTTTACAGCAACACCTTTTATAGAAAAATACATCTCAATCGGTAATAAAACTGGAGTGCCTTCAGTGGAAGAGAAAAAAAAAACAACTAAACTAAAAAACCCTTAACAGGCTTCAGTGAAAACTTTGACCAGTCCTGTAATTCCTGGGTTGCAACTCTTGAATCACTGCCATGTGAACTTCTCCTGCTGGGGACTTCCTGACTAATGGAGAGTCTAATCCCCAGAATTTTGTTCCTGTTATCATTCCTTTTTCCTCAATATATGCAAATCTTGGGAAATATGTGATTTTGCCTTGATGACTGACTGTTAATAATGTACTATACAGTAAGGATCTTGTAAACATTTGTATACCTTTTACATGTTCATACCAGACTTAAAATAAATACGACTTAAGGTCATGTTATTATATTGAGTTCCAGGCTGTGTTTCAAGTAAATGTACAGTGGAAATGTGGCATAGAAAAAGAAATGGAGTGGGAGTTTAGGAAACTTATGTCTAATATTGGTTCTATCATTAATTATTTAATCTTAGGCAGACTTCCTTGGTTTTCAGACTTAGGTCAGTGTAATAAATGGGTTTGGATTTGATGACTGTTAAGAGTCCTTCCAGCTTGAAACTGTATGATTCTAAGTCCTACACCAGAAAATAAGTTTATAGGTTAGATATTATAATATATAAAATATATAATAAAAATTCCTAATTCTAGCTGGCAATCCCTTTATTCCTTTAAGTTGAAAGCACTTGTAACTTTACATATAGGTAATACAAATGATACAGAAATTTCAAATTAAATAGCAAAGATACAAGCATTAAAAAGCATTAACTAAAAAATTGTTATGGTAAATACTACCTTTATTTTAAAAAGTTATACATGCTAGAAAAAAGCATAAATGATACATGTAAACAATTGTTTACCAAATACTTATTTTTCTTCCTTGAAAAAGGTGCAAATGATCTTTAAATGTAAACACAAAAGTTGCCAAACATTTTTGTAGTAGGGGAGAGGGAGAAGGTCCTTTTGGTTGTGATTAAAGTCTTATTCAAAGATTTTCCTGCAAAATACATTGAAAAAAATTGGTCTATGAGTACAGTGAGGAAAAGAAAAACACTTTTTACCATTGGAATTACCATTTTTTTCCTTAAAAATTTTAATTTTTCACCAGAAAGTGCAATTTGAGAGAAGTAGTGACAGTGGCCTTGTAGAATGGGGATAATGATATATTGTTTGTATAAAAGAACTAAGATATTATTATAATAAAATGCCTCAATTGGTTTTACACTCATTAACACATACTATTACATGAACCGAAGAATTCATTCCCATGGAGGCTGTTATTAAAGGTAAGCCTCAGCTTCACCAGGCCTGAGCATCAAGTATAAATTACATAACAGAATTCACTGCTGGGAAGAGGATGTTTCTCCCTGTTGGTCCTTGTTAGTAAGAGGAAATAGGAAGGAAAGTTGCTTCAGTTGGTAACATTTTTGAGCAAAAACTCTTGGCAGAGTTGTCTGTGATTCTCTTGGGGGATTCTCAAGACAGCATATGAGACTCATATTCTGTTTTTATAAGATGCACTGAGCAAAGTTCTAGATCTAGCAGAAACTCCATGAGTATATTATGAAAAAAAACAACAACTTTTTAGTGGAGAACAAGTTCATATAGAAGGAAACAAGCCATGAAATTCCACTGATAAAAACTAGCATCTGTTCTGGTTTTTATAGACTTAATATTCCTTCTGAATTGTACTAGTTAAAATCTTTCCTTTTTTAAAAGATGTTCAAGTCTTCTGGTGCTTAGTGCAAAAATAATGGTTAGCTAATACATTTGGCAGACCTATCTTTTTCACTAGTAATCCTTATAAGTAGTGGAGTCACATGGATGGAGTGTCTAGAAATAACAACCAGATCATACCCTTCTGCCTTTATCAGTATTTTCAAACTTAAATCAATACCTTAAAAACAAAGTAAGTTTTGCTGCTTGGAATTTTTCTTTTTTATTTTCTTCATTTTGTGGGAGGAAGGATAAGTCCCAAAAAAAAAAAAAAAAAAAAAAAAAAAAAAAACCCCAAACCACCCCCCTAAAATATAAACCGAAAAACACAGATAAATTAAAACCAAAAATAAATATTCTTCTGCACAGAGTTGAAAATTATTGTGCAAAGGTGGCATCTTGCAGGTGAAGCACTTTCATTGGATTTGTTCTCCATAATATTGAGGCACCGCAAAGAATAAAATTTTGTTCTAATGTCTTCTCAAGCTGTACAAAGCTCCAAAGTCATAAGCTTTCCAGAATACAAGGGAGCATACGCAAGACTGTCTTCTACATGTTCCCATATATGGGATTCACAATGTGTCATTTTTAATACTCCTACACCACCCCTAACCGACGCGTAATCATCCCGCCATAACAACTGCAAAGGAACACACAAATCAGATTTTACAACAGAGCACTATTTTCTATAACAAGATGTTAACCAAACACATTTCTATGTTTTATATCACAATTAATATTTAGTTTCATACTGATATTTTCTCCATTCCAAAGATTAGAAGCTGGAAATGAGCACTAGTAAGTAGCAAAAGTATTTCAGACATTGACTGAAATGATCTCACTTATAGGAGGCTATGTGAAGAATAAGAGAGCATCATATTCACCTTTTTTTTTTTTTTGACAGAGTCTCACTGTGTTGCCCAGGCTAGAGTGCCGTGGCATCAGCTTAGCTCAGAGGAACCTCAAGCTCCTGGCTTAAGCAACCCTACTGCCTCAGCCTCCCCAGTAGCTGGACTACAGGCATGCGCCACCATGCCCGGCTAATTTTTTCTCTATATATTTTTAGTTGTCCAATTAATTTCTTTCTATTTTTAGTAGAGATGGGGTCTTGCTCTTGCTCAGGCTGGTTTTGAGCTCCTGACCTTGAGTGATCCGCCTGCCTTGGTCTCCCAGAGTGCTAGGATACAGGTGTGAGCCACCATGCATGGCATATTCACTTTTTGCATAGAACTGACAACTTTATACCTCGACTGGCTTCTACCCTTATAGAGAATCATAATTTCTACATTTTTGTGTCTGATTTTGCCCCTGGCTGTATTATTTTACCATCACGTTTTCCCTGTGCCTAAACTTCCTTAATAATTTATTTTTATACCTTTGTCTTGTATGTACTCTTGTAAGCCTCTCAAATCCTTTATGGCAGTGGTGCCAACTTTTATGCCAAGGACTGGTTTCATGGAAGACAATTTTTCCATGGACCAGGGTTGGGGGGATGGTTCGGATGATTCAAACACATTACATTTATTGTGCAGTCAAACCTCTCTGCTAATGATAATCTATCTGAATTTATAGCCATTCCCCAGTGCTAGCATCACCACTCAGCTCCCTCAGATCATCAGGCGTTAGATTCGCATAAGGGCCACAACCTAGATCCCTCACATGTACAGTTTATAGTGGGGTTCATGCTCTTAAGAATCATAATGCTGCAGCTGATCTGATAGGAGGTGGAGCTTATGAGGTGATGCGAGTGATGGTGGAGTGGCTATAAATACAGATGAAGCTTTGCTTGCTGGCCCATAGCTCACCTCTGCTGCATGGCTCGTTCCTGAGAGAGAACTGAACTGAACCTTTATGGAATAAAGTAAATAAAGTCAGTATCTAGTTTGTGACATGTGAACAAGATCACCTTCAAAATTAAGTATCTCCTGTTCGGTGCAGCAGCTCATGCCTGTAATCCCAGTACTTTGTGAGGCCAAGGTGAGAGGATCACTTAAGGCCAGGAGTTCAAGACCAGCCTGAGCAACATAGTGACCCTGTCTCTACTAAAACCAGAAAAATTAGCTGGGCAAAATGGTGCATGCCTCTAGTCCCAGCTAGTTGGGAGGCTGAGGCAGGAGGATCACCTGAGCTCAGGAATTTGAGGTTGCAGTGAGGTATGATGATGCCACTGCACTTTAGCCTTGGCAATAGACGAACCCTGTCTCAAAAAAAAAAAAAAAAAAAAGAGAAGAGAGAGAGGAAAGAAAAATTAAGGACTTCCATGGAAGAATACTAAGATCCTCAATTAGCTGTGAGGTAAAATTGGTTTTAAATTTGGGGTATGTAACTGCAAAAATCTAGATATTCATTTCTCAACAGATGATCCTCAAGAATTTCATGAACATTACTTTGTCATATATTACTAATTCTCTTTAGCAACAGTTACGAGATGAAAAGTCATTACAGTAAGAATTACAGTGATGAAGTAGCAGAAGTTGACTTGGCTGTCTTCCCAGTTATTCTTATTCAAAATTCCCGCTGAATATGGAAGAAAATATCCCATAAGTGGTTCATGAAAACTTGCTGATATCTATCTGTTACCTCTATTAGGTTTTGTTAAAATGTCGCCTTTTCAGTGAGGCCTTCCATGGGCACCTTTTAAACAGACCCGCTCCCTGTACTCCCAAACCCCTCCATGTTTTGCTGTTGCCACAGCACCTCCACCTGGGGCGCGGTACCTGTCCCCCTCACTACCCAGCTCCAGGAGGACAGGAAGTTTGTTTTGTTCACTTTTGTATCCCAGAGCCTAGAGCACTCAGTAAATCTTTACTTAATGAACAGGGCTGTAATAATGTGATGCAGGAGCAAAAGGTACTACGCTGTCACTACCCCGACTTTAGTTTTGTGACCCCTGCGCCATACAGAGCTGTAGAGATGTGCAGAATCCAAAGGGTGTCATTTAAATATCTGTAAGAGTTGTGGCTTTCCCCGGGTTAAAGACTATAAAAGAACTCAGTAAATTCATTAGTTGAATCTAAACAGGGTGATGAAAAAAACCAAAGTGGGTAGTTACAGGCTCAAAATGAGGAAATGTTGCATTAGAATACAGTGGGAATGGACAAGACTGCCTCTTTTAGAATAGTCATAGAAAACAGCTCAGCTTACCCTTTACGGTCATGAGAAAAATCTCCTAGAAGGTCAGCTGCCTCAGATCTCACGTCCAGACTTACATCTCTGGTTGATATGCAACCTCAACCACTGAGATGACAACCCTAAATTTGCTTAGGCAAGTAGGCCCAATTTATTGAGAAGGAAACCCAAATTGCTTGAAGGCAAAATTGTTTCTTAGAAAACTATTAGTATTTATTATTAAGTATAGATATGAAGTATATCAAACCATAATGTTAATTGTTTATTAAGTTTTAGAGTTAACTATATAACTGGCATTTTAAATCTTGTATGTTTAAGAGAATTTGGCATTTTAGAGCATCTATCAGATTAGGAGTCTGGTGAGTCCAGTGTAAAATATATCACTGAGTAAAGATTTAATACTTAATGATTTAAGTTTAAAGGTTAAGAGAATTTTGCTAAGTTTATATGACTTTTCAATATTTAAAATAAATGTAAGATTGTAGTGACATGTTGAAGTAAAAAATAAAATAAATAAAATAATAAAATAATGTAAGAATCACCTGATTTATGTAAATTTAGAATGACTTAAGTACTTAGAAAGATTTATTAGACATTTAAGGATTTAAAAGCAAAGTAAAATTAAATCTAGAAATGAAGTTTAACATAGTTAAGCTTCTTTTAATTAAGGTGTAGCCTCATCCCTAAAAGTGACTGTTAAAAAAGGTTTTAAAATGAAACATTATTTTTAAAAAGTAACTGCAATTTGTTTTTCTGGGCATAAGCCTTCCCATAAGACACACAAAAATTGCACAGACAGATTGGGAGCTACAGACCTAGATTTTTTTTTTTTTAAATTTTACCTTTTTTATTTTTATTGAGACAGAGTCTCACTCTCACCCAGGTGAGTGCTATGGCATCAGCCTAGCTCACAGCAACCTCAAACTCCTAGGCTCAAGCAATCCTCTTGCCTCAGCCTCCCAAGTAGCTGGGACTGCAGGCATGTGCCACCATGTCTGGCTAAGTTTTTCTATTTTTAGTAGAGACAGGGTCTTGCTCTCACTCAGGCTGGTCTTGAACTCCTGATCTCAAGAGATCCTTCTGCTTCAGCCTCCCAGAATGCTAAGATTATAGGTGTGAGTCACTACGCCCATCCAGATCTAGGTTCTAATTCTAACTCTGTCACTATCTTGCTTAGGCAAGTGATTTTTATTAATCAGTGCCTTAGTTTCCTCAGCTGAACATGACAGGGCTATAAAAGATATTTTTCCTCTGTTTTCCCCACTTCTAATTATAAAACTGGACAGCTACCAAATAGAAGAATGCTGTAAGACATCAGCCACTTAAGAGCAATCAGGTCACAATGAGCTATCAAATGGGGATAACTTCAGCCCTCTTCCAAGTACTGGAAGAGGTACTTCAATGTCCTGATCCTGACCATCCCAATTTTCATGGTCATGGGCTATCTCAAGCCCAGGATTCTCAAGTCAGTAGTGAGGTGATCTGCAACACAGCTTAGAGGTTACCTCCATGTATTGGCATCAGGATCAAAAACTTCAATGGTCTTCAAGTATGTTGTGCCATCAAAACCTCCCACTGCCATGAGCTGTCCATTGACCACTGCCAGGCCAACCTACAGAACCAAAACACAGTGGCTACTGAAGAAACTAGACAATTACTGGGAAATTTTAGACCGGTTTCTAGGAGAATCTCTTTAATAAAAGGTAATTCTTTATGGCCTTACATTCTGGTTTGCTTGAACACAGAGGGAAAATGTATAACAACAACAAAAATGTATTAAATTATAGGAACTATAAAATTAATATTGAATTCGAATATTTATACAGAGTCTAAAACATATATTTCTTAAATTTTAGAAAAAGCATTCACTAGGAATGAGCAAGAATCTCTAAACTGTTCTCACTTCCTCTGGTATTTGCCTACTCCAATCCACCTTCTAAATTGCTACTCTTTCTTTTAAAAAATATAAATCTAACCATGTTGTCACTTTCCTCTTTAAAAACTTTTTAAGCCTATCTATTGCCTAAGAGTAAGTTTAAAGTCCCTATTATGTTACTCAGGCCCTTGAGAAATCCGTCTTAGCCCACTGTTTGTCACCACCTGTATTTTCACCTTTCTCCTTCTACTGCACCCTAAATGGCAGTAAGACTGGATTAACTGCTAGTCCCTGAAAATCCCATGCATTTTCACATATCCTTGCTTTTGCATGTGTTGTTCCTTGGCTGGTATTTTCAGCCCCTCTTCTAGAAACTTTATTCTTCCTTCATGATCTAACTTATATGTGACTGTCTCTGGTAGTCTTTTTACTTCCTCCACCCATTCTTACTTTCCCAAAGCAGTAAGCACATTCTCCCATGTTTTCCTGTGACACACATGCCACTACTATAGGATTTATTTATTATAGTTAGCTATAAACATTTCAATTTCCTTCATTAAATTGGAAGCTCACTGAGGAGGGGAATCATGTCATACTCATTTTTGCTTTCCCAGAACACATTGAGCACTTAATGAGTAAATGAATAAAAATGTAATCAACAGAATGTAGCAGTAAAAATAACAGGAATGTGACTAAGAAGCTATTAGTTTACCAGTAATAGAAAGCCATGGACATGTGAATGCTTTGACTTGCTGGTGATGCCTTCCAGTAGTGGTCCTTGATTTATGTAAATCAGAATTCATTCCCTTTTATCCTCAGATTATGGAGTCTTTAGCCACTGCTTGCTTCTCCTTCCTGTTGTGGATGTGTCTACCCTACGCTGATGGACTCCTGACATGATCGGTGGTTAATGGGTTACATTTCACCCTGAGCAAACATCTCAGGATGGATAAATCCTATACTTCACTCTGGAAGTCTCTTGTACTCACAGGTCATGCGTGCTCTAGAATACGACATAAGTCAGCCTGATTTGGCTTATTTTATAGATGGGATAGACTCAAACCAGCTTGTGGTGGGACCATATGGGTTTTTGCCTAAACATTTGTATTAAATTAGTATGACAACTACTCAGAATATTAGCTAGAAACATTAGGTAGGAATATTTAGCTCCAATAGATATGAAGTTAGATAAGGTAGATGACACAAGGAGATGCCTTCCAGAGAAGCAACTGATATTAGATAAATTATAAAAAATTAATTCTCTAATTAAAGATATGACTAGATACAAGATTTTTAACTACCTGAGATAAGAGTAATCAAAATAAATTCAATATTTTTTCTAGCAAAATTAGCAGGGGTTGTTTTGCCTAAAGCATCCCAACAGTATCAGATGAGACGGTTGAAAAATAAAACAAGTAGGCACCAGTAGTTCACCTCTGCACTGTTCAAGTGTATTATATTTTACAGACCACAGCACCCCTTCTGCACCCCTCTCTTGGTGCTTGTTTTTCGAAGCTCAAGCACTCAGTAGCTAGGTACTTACTCCACTGCGGCGGGATGTCATGGCCACCACCGGAGACCACTGATTAGTTCTAGGGTTGTATCTCTCAGCACTGCTCAGCTCGGTAGTGTCATCTCTACCTCCTACGGCATAGATCATGTCCTGATACACTGCGCAGCCTAGGTGTTTCCTCCGGGTCCCCATAGGGGCTATTGTGTGCCATCTGTTTTCCTGAGGATTGTAGCGCTCCACTGCAGGGAAAGGAAAAACCGGCAAGTGATCATTCAACCATTTCCTCTCACCTCTAGTTTTCTTCATAGCCACCAAAACTCTGTGATAACATATATTTTCAAAAAACAATCTGATTTTTGCTTCTGAGAACTTGTATACCTCTAGACAACACTACATATACTCTCAGCAAGGACTGGTTTCTTCTAGGTATGGTATGGTAGAAAGGGCCTGTGTTGGAGTCAAGATACTTGGGTTCTAGTTTTGGCAATATGACAAATTTGGCAAATTAGCTATATGACCCTTAGCCTCATTCTCCTTATCTTTAAATGGGGAGATTGGACTATATGATCTACAAGCACCGTTCAGTACTAAAAATTTATTCTCATAATCAGACAACTCCTGTACTCCCTTGCCTATATAGCCTAGAGCATTTTAAGCCATTGAAAGGAAAAGATATATGACAATGAATTTGAGGTGAGTGCCACACTGACAATATCCTTATGCAAAAATACTCATTATCTCTAAATAGAAGGGACTAACAATAAACCAATTTCTAGTTTTAAGTTTTTATTTATTTTCAGATTATAGTATATTTTTTTTGAGGAGAGGTGGTGATGGTAGGTGGAGGGAAATAACCATATGAGAAAGTAGTTTTTTTATTCATTATATAGTTTCCAGCAGCTTGTAAAGCAGAGGGAGAAAGAAATATTTGGGAATGTACTAGAAGACTATGGCTGCAGAAGGAGCTTAGGAAGAGCTGAGTTATACTCTCCTAGAGGAAAAATGAAGCATTTTCCTAATAAATTACAGGGTAACCTAGACTTTTTATACTTTTTATAGGGAGACTGTCCTTAGGAAAATGTGCTGCTTTTGGGGAACCAGATTGCCTTTGGGAGGCACTAACCTGTGTTGAGTGGAGATGTCCCATCAGAGCCACCTACGGCATATAAGAACCCTCCTAACACAGCCACAGCCACGCCTAGTCTTCTGGTGCTCATAGAAGCTACCCGAGTCCACTTGTTCTCCTTTGGATCATACCTTCAGTGAGAGAAACCAGACTGAATGCAAGTTCTTCTTATTAAGAGAAGCCTTTTTCATGAGGTCTGAAATCACACTAGAATCTAACATATTTTCCTTAGTTATTTGGGAAAAAAGTCTTAAAATTTATGCTTGTGCTAGTTATTAAGCTATCTTCTATACTTAGACTTTGAAAATGTCCCCAGGAAAGAAAATAGCCTATAATGTCATCTCACGTAACATGGGTTCTTTCCTCAATGAAAGTAGTTTAGTTCATCTGGTCCTAATTACTTTTTACTTCTGCATGCCTCTTATGTCTTTTAAAGTAAGATATAGGTTTTTTTTTTTTTTTTTTGAGATAGAGTCTCTCCCTGTCACCCCAGCTAGAGTGTAGTGGCATCATCCTAGCTCACTGCCACCTCAAACTCCTGGGCGTAAGTGATCTTCCTGCCTCAGCTTCCTGAGTATCTGGGACTCTAGATGTGTACCACTGTGCCCAACTAATTTTTCAAATTTTTTGTAGAGACAGGGTCTTGTTATGCTGCCCAGGCTTGTCTTAAACTCCTGGTCTCAAGCAATCCTCCTGCCTTGGCCTCCTAAAATTCTGGGATTACAGGCATGAGCTACCACACCCAGCCAGTTGTCTGTTTTTCCTAGTTGTTGCAGTGAGAGTGATTTCTGTTACTGTATATTATATCCTATTTGGAAGTAGAAGTCTTTTGCATAGTTTTATTATAAAATAAAACACTAATACAGAAAGCCACACAAAACAAATACATAGTTTAAGGCTATAAGGAATGCTCACTTGTGAACACTACCCAGGCCAAAAGAACTTTACATGCTACTCTGGAAGCCCTACATGTGTCCCTCACCTATCTCAATCCCCACTTCCCCACAAAGTAACCATTACCCTGACTTTTATAGCTATCACTTCCTTGTTCTTCTTTATAGTTTCATCACCCAAGTGTCAATCCCTATCACCCCTACACACTTTAGTCTCACTCATTACATTTTTATTTTTATTTTTTGGTATTTTTTAAAGTCTTTTTTACCTATAGGTTTTCTCTCCATTCCTTTTCTCCCTTGCAATTCATGTTTTAGAATCTGGGGGATATGACAATTTTCCCTATGATATGGACTTAGTTGATTGTATATTCATAGTGCAGTTCAATATGTTGCTTGGTCCTCTGTATGTTCTACAAGTTGGCATCTAGATTCAGAAGTTTGATCAGACCATGTTTGGGTCCTTGAATAAGACTATAGGAGTGTTAGCTACTCCTAGTCTATTGATAGTTGAATAATTACCAATACTTAGATCCATTAATTTACTAAGTATTATAAAATGGTGGCATTCTATCACTTATTTTCTTTTATTGGAATATTTTTATAAAGAAACAATTCTCTTATCTACTACCGGGCTACGCAATTCATATATGATACAGTTCACATAACACAGAATATATACTTGCTTCTTTCAATTTACAAATTTTCAAGATAATAAATTCACTCTCTATGATCTTCCAAAGGCAACCAATTAGGTTTTTTCTTAAAAAAAATTATTAGGAACTCATATATTTAAATATATCTATTGGATTTCAATCAATTGCAATTATTACCCCTTTTAAAGTTGAAATTGTCTTGTCTTTGGTCAGTGGGAACATCTTCAAGTTGGCTCCTGAATCTTTTTTTTTTTTTTTGAGATTGTTGCCCTGGCTAGAGTCCTATGGCATTAGCCTAGCTCACAGCAACCTCAAACTCTGCGGCTCAAGCAATCCTTCTGCCTCAGCCTCCCGAGTAGCTGGGACTATAGGCATGTGCCACCATGCCTGGCTAATTTTTGTACATATATTTTTAGTTGTCCAATTAATTTCTTTCTATTTTTAGTAGAGACAGGGTGTCGATCTTGCTCAGGCTGGTTTTGAACTCCTGACCTTGAGCGATCCGCCCGCATTGGCCTCCCAGAGTGTTACGCTTATAGGTGTGAGCCACCACCGCGCCCAGCCTCCCTGAATCTTTTTGAGACCTAGTAATCTTTGGTAGCTTGCTTGGCCTTTGGTATGGCATGATCCAGACTCATCTATACATCTCCTGTCCTAAACCTGGAATCAGACATTTCTCTAAGAAGTTCTGGTTTCTTTCTTTTTTTTTTTTCAGTTTCAGCATATTATGGGGGTACAAATGTTAAGGTTACATATATTGCCCATGCCTCCCTCCCCCCTCCCACCCAACTGACATATCTGGGTTCTCTGTTCTGTTCCACTGGTCAATGTCCCTGTTCTTGTGCCAGTCCAAAGCTGTTTTAATTACTATAGCCTTGTAGTATACTTAGAAATCTGGTAAATTGATAGCTCCTGTTTTGTTTTTATTGCCTAGGATTGATTTTGCTATACGGGGTCTTCTCTGGTGCCATACGAAGCATAAAATTATTTTTTCTATATCTGTGAAAAATGATGATGGTATTTTGATAGGGATTGCGTTGACTCTGTAAGTCACTTTGGGTAGTATAGGCATTTTAACAATGTTGATTCTGCCGACCCATGAGCATGGTATATTCTTCCACCTGTTTATATCCTCTGCTATTTCTTTCTTCAGTGTTTTATAGTTCTCCCTGTAGCGGTCTTTTACCTCCTTAGTTAAATCCCAGGGATGCAGGGATGGTTCAACATATGCAAATCTATAAATGTAATTCACCATGAAAATGGAAGCAAAAATAAAGACCATATGATCCTCTCAATAGACGCAGAAAAAGCATTTGACACCCTTTTATGATAAGAACGCTCAACAAAATAGGCATAGACGAGGCTTACCTAAAAATGATACAAGCCATATATGACAAACCCACAGCCAATATCATACTGAATGGGGAAAATTTGAAAGCATTCCCACTTAGAACTGGAACTAGACAAGATTGCCCACTATCTCCACTTCTATTCAACATACTGCTGGAAGTCCTGGCTACAGCAATCAGACAAGACAGAGGAATTAAGGGCATCCAAATGGGAGCAGAAGAGATCAAACTCTCACTCTTTGCTGATGACATGATATTATACCTAGAAAACCCCAAGGATTCAACCAAGAGACTCCTTGATCTGATAAATGAATTTGGTAAAGTCTCAGAATACAAAATCAATACACAGAAATCAGAGGCATTCATATACGCCAACAACAGTAAAAGTGAGAACCAATTCAAATACTTAATTCTCTTCAAAATAGCAAAGAAGTTCTGGCTTCTTTAAGTGGGAAATGAAATTTCAAGACACAATCAGGGAGTAAAGATTTTCACTGCCATTTGGTTGTTTTTTATTTCTAAGCTTCTTCAGTTAACAGAGCTAGAATATATAGAAATTTTTTAAAAAGGGGAGTTTATTTCAAATTCAAATTCAAGACTAAAAAGTATTTTACTTAACCTCTTCTATTTAACATTCTTATCTTCTTCCATACCCAGGTTTTTAAGGACACAGAAGACAGAATTAGAATAATCCATACTCATTTCCTATATTCCACATTTATACACATGACAGTCTTAGAATAGCAATATTGTCACTCCAACATCCCTGAGAACAGTATCTCTTCTCATTCTCCCCTCACTTTAAAAATAGTTTTACTACATTTACATTGATTGAGCATATAGCTAACGCATGCTACACACTCTCCCTTTTAATTCTCATTTAGTCATAGTTCTATAATTAACTGTATGTTTCATGCTCACTCTCAGTACTCAGTCAATGTCTTTCTAGTGATTTTGCCTGAAGCTTGTGCTCTAGTAGATTCTTCAGAAAAGACTCGAGAACAATATTGTCCAGTTTCTTACATGTTTATAGTTCATCTGTACCCTTTATACTTCAAAGTCAGTTTCACTAAGTATAAAATTCTTGGCTTACATTTTCCTTGAATGTCTTAAACATGTTACTGTTTTCTTCTGGCATAAAATATTGCTTTAAAAAAGTCTGATGATAGGCCGGGCGTGGTGGCCTACGCCTGTAATCCTAGCACCCTGGGAGGCCGAGGCGGGCAGATTGCTTGAGCTCAGTTCAAAACCAGCCTGAGCAAGAGTGAGATCCCGTCTCTACTATAAATACAAAGAAATTAATTGGCCAACTAATATATATAGAAAAAATTAGCCGGGCATGGTGGCACATGCCTGTAGTCCCAGCTACTTGGGAGGCTGAGGCAGCAGGATTGCTTGAGCTCAGGAGACTGAGGTTGCTGTGAGCTAGGCTGACGCCATGGCACTCACTCTAGCCTGGGCAACAAAGCAAGACTGTCTCAAAAAAAAAAAAAAAAAAAACCTAAAAAAAATAGAGATGGAGTATCACTGTTGCTTAGTCTGGTCTCCAACTCCTGAGCTCAACTGATCTTCCCACCTCAGCCTCCAAGAGTGCTAGGATTACAGCTATGAGCCACCACACCTGGCCTTAAATTACTTTTGCAATCTATCCATACACAGATAAAAGTGTTACTTAACATATCAGAACTTAGAAACTTGACCATTGCCTTCAGAAGGGAAAATTATCCCTAAAATATGCTTAATCAGGCGGCCAATTCATCTGCCAATCTCTAAGAACATGGAAGTGAATGTGATACACAGATTGTCCCCTATCGGAACCTTTATTTACCACCATTTGATAACCCTTTTTCAGGCCCAGATCTGCAACACGGGTTTGCCAACAATCATTAAATACACAAGAAGACTTTCATCATCATCTACTGCTGCAGAAATCTAGGATATGTGGTTCTTGGGTATCACCAGAAAATGTGTTGGTGCTTGAGGGGAAATGTCATGGAAAGCAAGACACTGGTCATCCTCAAAAATGATTTTGGCTGCGATTTCCTTGTAGATGATCTTCCCAAAGATTGTGTGGCCACCAGGCCAAGTGACCTGAGCCTTGGTGCTCTCACCTGCCATCTTGGCCTCCCTTCCACATGGCAGCCAAGGGAGAAGCTAGGAGGTTAATTTCTTTTCCCTTATAAGTAACATGTACTTTTTTTGGTAGATGCCTAAAGGATATTTTTCTTTTTCTTCAAGGTATGGTCATTTTATTAGCATATGTCTTGCTGTTGAATGTTTTGGGTCAGCATTTATAAAATATAATGTTTTTTTTCAATAAACAGTTTATATATTTTTTATTATAGGAAAGTAATTTTGAATTATAGTTTTTAGTTTATTTGTTCTGTTTCCTTGCTTGGGTTTTTTTCTTCATAGATTTCTGTTATCTGTATAATAGATTTTTACCTATTTTCAATATTTGTTGCTATCTCTCAAATACTTTCTACCTCTTAATTTCTGTCTTTAAAATATTTCTCCTTTTTCACCTTCTATTTGTCTTATGGTATTATCTATTTTGCTTATTTGTCCTTTTCATGTAATCTTCATTCTGAAATGATTTTTCCTTTCATTCTTAATAGTTTTCTGAGTTCTGTCACCCTGTGTCTGAGTCTTTTTAATTCTGATTTATGTATAAATGGTTTCATATTTTATATCTTTTCTTAATGTCTTTTATAACATTTCAAAATAGTTGAGTAGAGTTCTGATCTGTTCTGTAGGTATGTCTTTCTGGTGTTGCTTTTATTGTCTGTAGGGATGTTCTGCTTATTTTCTCTCCTTATATTAACTTTGTATGAGATCTAATCTCACTACTTTGCTGTTGGTCATTTTTACATGAAATGAGTTTTCCTGAGCTTTTAGAAGGAGGAGTAGTTTGTGATAGTTTCCTACCTTTGTGGAGCTCCTTATTGACTTTATTCACTGTCCCTACTTTTGTTGTGCCCTTCTCTTTTCTTGGCCTTTTCTTTTGAAGGGCAACGAGGGTATCTGTTGCCCCTGTCCTACTTAATTTTGATTCTATTCTCAGAGGTTTCTCCTCATTGTGGGGTTCTGACCTGGAAGGTCATCTTGGCTGGTCAGATTTGAGAGTTTAGAGGGACTGGATGGCTCTAGCCCAGTTGCTTCCCAACCAGGTGTGATTTTTGGCTCTCACTCCTTGCTCCCCCTGGCCCCTAGAGAACATCTAGCAATGTCTGGAGACATTTTTGGTTGTTACAACCAGCCTCATGCTTGTGGCACTTAGTCGGTAGAGGCCATGGATATTGTTAAACATCCTATTAATACAATGCACAGGACAGTCCCCCCAACAAAGAATTATCCATCCCCAAATGCCAGTAGTGCTGAGGTTGAGAAACCCTCTTCTAAGCCCTTTAGATCTTCTTGCAGGTCACTTGCACTTACTCTTTATGGAAATGGACAAAACTGTTCTTAGTTTCAGTTTTTGTTTATAAATTTTCCCCTTGTGCTTTCTAGTGAATACGTATTAGCTATTTTGGAGTTCTGTTCTTAGATCTGTCAGACATCCAATTGCTTCTTTCTGTTTCCTCCTGCACAGATACTAGTATCATGCAGATCATGTGGCTATTGGTAGCCTGTCTTTGCCATTTGTGTTTTTTGTTTTGTGAGGATATTCTCTCTCCTAGTTTTATTTTAAATATTGTCCGTAAGTTTTTATTTTTTGAATTGTGGTAAAATACACATAACATAAAATTTACCATCTTAATAATTTTTAACTGTGCAGTTCAGTAATATTAAGTATATTCACATTGTTGTGCAACCAATATCTAGAACTAGATCATAGGTTTTTAGCTTTGCTATCTGTTGCTCTGAATGCTTTTAATGTGGGGATTTGGAACCCTCCTGCATTCAGTGTGAAAAGTAGAGAAATAGGTTTCTTGACAGAGATTAAAAGGAACTGACATAGCTTTCAAGAGTTACCTTTCAACTTCACCTCTATGTAGGACAGAGTTAAACTCTTCAACTTAAGCATAGTAAACAAACTAGTAAATGCTATCTCAAAAATTCTGAAGAGTCATGATATCACTCATTTCTGTTTAAGAAGTGAGGATGAAATATGGTATGTTCTTAGTAATCATAACACATGAGACTCCAAAATCTAATGACAAATGCTGACAGAAGAAATTAAGAACAAAATCTGTTTCACCAAAATTAACTGATTTGTACACAAGTATAAAGTGACCTTGGCAGCCCACCCAGATTCCCTGAAGTATACCTCAATAATTCACAAGAATCTATATGCAAAATACTTTGGGCTTTTTATAAGATATGCTAGACAAAGTATTATTACTTCAATCATTTCTCTGGAGGAAGTCTTGGCAGAATAATCCATTAAGTACACTCCAGAATGGGGGGAAAAAATCAGAATAGATTTCAGAAGTGGTTTGCTTGATATTATATATAGAATGTAATTTAAAATATATTTCTAACACTTCAATGTTAGGTGCAATCAGTGTGAGAGCTTAACAAATTATGTTATACCCCAAAAGCATAGGGGTATGCTTCTGCACAGCAAAGGAAAAAAATAAACAGAATGAAGAGACAACCAATAGAATGGGAGAAAACATTTGCAAATCATACATCTCATAAGAGGTTAATATCCATAAGAGGTTAATATGTGAGATAATGCATATATTAGTTAGCTTGATTTAGCCATTCTACCCACATTGTATACATATTTAAAAACATCATCTTGTATGCCATAAATATATACAACTGTTATCAATTAACACATTGACTAATATATAAGGAACTCAAACAACTCAACAGGGAGAAAGTAATCCAATTTAAAAATGGGTGAAGGACCTGCATAGATATTTCTCAAAAGAAGACATACAAATGGCCAACAGATATATGAAAAAATGTTCAACATCACTAATCATCAGAGAAATGCAAATTAAAATCACAATGAGATATCATACCATACCTGTTAGAATGGCTATTATCAAAAAAGATAACAATTTCTGGCAAGAATGTAGAGAAAAGGAAACCCTTGCACATTGCTGGTAGGAAAGTAAATTAGTACAGTCATTATGGAAAACAGTATGGAGGTTCCTCAAAAAATTAAAAATAGAATTACCATATGCTCCAGCAATTCTGCCACTGGGTATATATCCAATGGAAATAAAATTATTATGTTGAATAGATACCTGTACTTCCAAGTTAGCTGCACCATTATTCACAATAGCTAGATATGAAATTAACCTAAGTGTCCATCAATGGGTGAATGAATAAAATGTGGTATACATACACTACGGAATTTAAAAAGAAGGAAATCCCATTTTGTGACAACATGGATGAACCTGGTGGACATTATATTAAGTGAAATAAGCTAGGCACAGGAAGACACATACTATATGATCTCACTTACATGAGGAATCTAAAAGTCAAACTCATAGAAGTAGAAAGTAGAATGGTGGTTACCAGGGGTAACCTGGTAACCTTCCTTCCTTTGGCAGAAGAAAGCCGGGGGAGTGGGGAGATATTGGGTCAAAGAATAAAAAATTTCAGTTAGACAGGAAGAATACGTTCAGGAGATCTAATGTACAACATGGTGACTATAGTTAATAACAATGTATTGAATACTTGAGAGTAGATTTTTAAGTATCCTCACCACAAATAAATCAGAAATATGTGAGATAATGCATATATTAGTTAACTTGATTTAGCCATTCTACCCACATTGTATATATATTTAAAAACATCATCTTGTATGCCATAAATATATACAATTGTTATCAATTAACACATTGACTGCCACATTGAAAAAAAATTTTTTTCCCTTGGAGCCACAGTGTTTTATTATGAAGAAGCAGAATAAAAACTTTGAAAACAAAATGATCCTAATTTAATGAAAACTTTGTTATTTTTTATTATTTTCTGTGCATGAGTTACATGCAACTTGAAAAATAGTTCTTGCAGTTCCCAAGGTGAGGAGACAAGTGTGAGTTACATATGCTTCTGAGGCCCTGGGCTCAAAACTAGTGTGAGTTAAATACAACTCAGATGGCAGTTAATGTGTTAAAAAAAAATCTTTTTAATATCTCTCATTTTCCTAGACTTTCAGATCAACTGAAAACCTTTTCCTGAAAGCCTATGGGGGAAATCCACTGAATAGTGAATCCCCAGTGTCCTAAATTCAGCTGTAATTTTAAAGAGCCCTATATGTTCTTTTAAAAAAAATTGAAAATGACTTAAAAAAATTTACCTTTCAACAATGTTGAGGCAAGATACACCATCCTGGCCACCCACAGCATAGAGAAAGCCTCCAAGTACGGCCACACCAACGCTTGTCCTGCAGGTGCTTGTAGGGGCCACATCACTGCTCCACTGGTTTGTTTTGGGGTCATATCTATAAAGAACACATCAAGAGCAGAGTTTGTATTACACAAAGGAAGCTTGGCTATGTTTACATATTTCAAAACAAAGGATTTTTTTAAGGGGTGGAGGGTTGTGAGGAGATATGTTCAATTGCCTTGCTTGTTTTTGTTGAGACAAGAGTCTCCCACCGTTGCCCTGGGTAGCGTGTAGTGGCATCAAGTTGCTCACTGGAACCTCCAACTCCTGGGCTTAAAGTGATCCTCCTTCTGCCTCAGCCTCTGGGTAGCTGGGACTACAGGTGAGCACCACAAAGCCCAGCTCAGTTCTTTTTTCTTTCTTTCTTTTTTTTTTTTGTCCTTTCTTTTTTATAGAGACAGGGTCTCATTCTTGCTCAGGCTAATCTTCAACTCCTGAGCTCAAGCAATCCTCTGTCCTTGGCCTCCCAGAGTGCTAGGATTACAGGCATGGGCCACCATCAACCTGGCCCGAATTAGTATGACATGTATGTTTTCCCCTAACTACAACATACGAAAATCTAGCTGGTTTTTATTTTTTGAAATTCATTTTTACTTAAGTTACATATGAATATATTTTCTTTTTAAAAAATCAGAATGTTAAAGTCCCCTTTAAGTCCCACCTGAATTCTGGTCTATTCCTATTTTGATTTGGTGTACACCCGTTAAGACTTTTCAGTAAAATACTTTAAAATAGGTATATATGTATCTACATATATATTTATTTATATGTAAGCATGTTTTCTTTATATAAATATCATACAATAGGCATTGATTTTTCCCTCAACATATTTTTGAGATCTATGTATGCTAATATAGCTCTAGATTTTTCCTTTGAAGTATTATATTATATTGTATGTACAATGCAGTATTTAATCATATGCCTATTGAGTAAAACCTTTAGGCTGTTTCTGACATTTTGTTGTTAAAAACAGTGATTACTCTTGTATATTTCTTCTCCTGCAAATGAGTAAGTAGAATCACTAGGGCAAATAGTATGTTCATTTTTAATTTAAAAAATACTCTCAGGGCAGGCGCGGTGGCTCACGCCTGCAATCCTAGCACTCTGGGAGGCAGAGGCGGGAAGATCGTTTAAGCTCAGAAGTTCAAGACCAGCCTGAGCAAGAGCGAGACCCCGTCTCTACTGAAAAAATAGAAAGAAATTAGCTGGACAACTTAAAAAATACATATATATAAAAAAAAAAATTAGTCAGGCATGGTGGTGTATGCCTGTAGTCCCAGGTACTTGGGAGGCTGAGGCAGCAGGATTGCTTGAGCCCAGGAGTTTGAGGCTGCTGTGAACTAGGCTGATGCCATAGCACTCTAGCCCCAGCAACAGAGTGAGACGTTGTCTCGTGTCTCAAAATAAAAAAATAATTAAAAAAATAATAATTAAAAAAAAATACTCTCAAAATGCTTTTTGTATTACTTATCTCCAGTAAGAATGGCCTTTACCAAAAAGTTCCCAAACAATAAATGTTGGCGTGGATACGGAGAGAGAGGAACACTCATACACTGCTGGTGGGACTGCAAACTAGTTCAAACTCTGTGGAAAGCAATATGGAGATACCTTAAAGCGATACAAGTAGATCTACCATTTGATCCAGAAATTCCACTACTGAGTATCTACCCAAAAGACCAAATGACACTCTACAAAAAAAGATACCTGCACTTGAATGTTTATAGCAGCACAATTCACAATTGCAAAGTTGTGGAAACAACACAAGTGCCCATCAATATATGCGTGGATTAATAAAATGTGGTACATGTATACCATGGAGTACTATTCAGCTTTAAGAAACAACGGTGAGGCTGGGCGTGGTGGCTTACGCCTGTAATCCTAGCACTCTGGGAGGCCAAGGCAGGCAGATCTCTCAAGGTCAGAAGTTCGAAACCAGCCTGGGCAAGAGCAAGACCTTGTCTCTATTAAAAATAGAAAGAAATGAATTGACCAACCAAAAATATATATACAAAAATTAGCCAGGCATGGTGGCACATGCCTGCAGTCCCAGCTACTCGGGAGGCTGAGGCAGGAGGATCACTTGAGCCCAGGAGTTTGAGGTTGCTGTGAGCTAGGCTGACACCACGGCACTCTAGCCCAGGCAACAGAGTGAGACTCTGACTCAAAAAAAAAAAAAAAAGAAAGAAAGAAAGAAACAATGGTGATATAGCACCTCTTATATTTTCATGGATAGAGCTGGAACCTATTCTACTAAGTATCCCAAGAATGGAAAAACAAGCACCACATATACTCACCAGCAAATTGGTATTAACGGATCAACACCTAAGTGGACATATAGGAATAACATTCATCAGGTGTCGGGCATGTGGGAGGGGGAAGGAAGGGATGGGTATATACATCAACAATAAGTGAGATGTATACCATCTGGGGGATGGTCACGCTTGGAGCTCTGACTCAAAGGGGGAGGGGGGCATGGGCAATGTACGTAACCTTAACATTTGTACCCCATAATATGCTGAAATAAAAAAAAGATGATATACACAGTCTAATGGATAAAAAAAATGCTTTCTGTAGATACATCAATTTTTTTCAATTCATTATTTTTTCTTTTCATTAATTTTTTTTTTGTTGGGTTTTGTTGCTCTTTTTATAACTTCTTGATTTAAAAGCATGATTCATGTTTTTCCATCTTTTTTACAAAAGCATGTAAGTTAAAATTCATATAAATTTGCCTCTGAGTACCATCTTAGTTGCATTTTATCCATTTTGATATAGGTAGGCTTAATTGTTATTAAGTTATAAATATTTAGTCATTTCTACTCTTATTTCTTTAATCTATCAATTTATTTTTAAGTGTGTGTACAGTTGTTTTTGTTTTTTTTACTTTTATGGAACTAATCCCTCTGTCTTTTTTTTTTCACCTATAAAATCTTTACACCTCTAGAACTTGTTATCCTGCTGGGATTCACAGAGGTGTCATAGAAATACCAAGGATCACTGTAAACCAACACAGCCCTATGAAAAATGGTGTGTGAGAGAGCAAGAAGCTATTATAACATCAGTTACTATAGGTTTCCAATGTGCCCAGGCACTGTAATAGATAGATATTATTAGGGAGAAAGATATTTCAACAATTATAGCACAATGTGACACGGATAATAATGTTACGAAAGAGCAGAGGAACGAGAAACTAACTTCATCTGTGTGGTATTGAGGTTTTATATAAGAGTAACATTGTGTCTTGAAGGAAATGTAAGTATTAAAGGGGCAGAGATATTCCAGGGAAGAAATAACGGCATGCACACATACACACAGGAAAAGAGGTATGAGGGAAGATAGCATGTCCAAGGAACTGCAAGCTACTTGATGGGTTTGAGGTAGCATGTTTAGGGAATGGAGGTGTGACACGGGAGACATACTGGAAAAATAAGTAGTGATCAGATCATAAAGTACCTGTGTGCCATACTAAGTGGTCTAGGCTGCCAACTCGTGCCACAGATGCAATACTAAAGCAGTACGTCACATCTGTTTCCTAATCAATATCTCAAATGAAACTATATGAATAGGAGAGAAAAAATTTCAAAAGTACTTTACTCACCTTTCAACACTATTGAGATAAGAGGATCCATCGTGGCCTCCTACTGCATATAATAGGTCATCAAGAACACTGACCCCAACTCCACATCGCCTTTTGCTCATTGAAGCTACCATTCGCCATTCATTGGTCTGGGGATCATATCGTTCAACACTGGAAATAGCATCTCCACTGCACCAACCACCAACTGAGGAAGTAACAGAAATGGTCACGAGAATATTGTATAAATATTAAAGAGAATAAAGCATAGAATGTAACACTCACTGCTAACCTCACTATGCTTGGACTAACTTTAGAAGCAGGTCAAAACACAAGTCATAGCTTTAACTTATTCCACTGGGATTGCTATAATTGTTAATGAATTTTCTAAATAAGTTTTATGCTCATTTTACAAACAGGGGCAATGACACTAATTCAAATAAGATTGTGAGGTAATGTGGTATATGATGGATAGAACACTGAATTTAGTTAAAAAACTGGGGTTTAACTATGGCCTCTACTAGCTATTTGATCTTAGAGAAATCCTGTAAACTCTTTGAACCATACTTTCCTCATTTGTAAAATAGTGAATCAAAATTTAAAAAGTGAAATAATATCAATAATGTATAAGAAAGTATACATCACGACTAAGGAGGATTTATCCCAGGTATGCAAGGCTGGTTCAATATGGGAAAATCAATTAATGTAAACCATCACATCAACAGGCTAAAGAAGAAAAATCGTACAATCATATCAATAGATGCAGAAAAAGCATCTGATAAAATTCAATACTCCTTTCTGATAAAAACTCTCAGTAAACTAAGAATAGACAATTTGAGAAAGAATATCTACAAAAATCCTACAGCAAATGTCATACTTAACAGGGAGAAATTTTCCCACTAAGATCAGGAACAGAGCAATGATATTTCCTCTCACCACTACTTTTCAACATCATACTGGGAGTCCTAGTTAAAGTAATAAGACAAGAAAAGGAAATAAAGGGTTTACAATTTGGGAAGAAACAATAGCTAGTAGTAATACAGAACAATTATAACAATATGGCAGTATTGCTACTCTTGAGCTTTGGGGCTATTATTAAGTAAAATACGGGTTACTTGAACACAAGCACTGTGATACTGTGACAGTCAGTCTGATAACTGAGACGGCTGCTAAGTGATTAAAGGGCAGTTAGTGTACACATCATGGATACACTGGACAAAGGATGATTCACATCCCAGACAGGAGGGAGTAGAACAGTGAGAAACTTCATCATGCTACTCAGAACAATGTGCAATTTAAAACTTATAAATTGTTTATTTCTGGAATTTTCCATTTAACATTTTCAGAGCAAGGTTGACTATAAGTAAATGAAATTGGAGGAAGCAAAACTACATATAAGTGGGAGACTACTATATTTAAGGGAGGTACATTTTGGCTCACCTTCTCATGGTCTTTTAATAGGTGTCTTTATGACTAAAAATAGTACAAAAATTCTTACTATTTTATTACAAAATATTTTGCTTTTTATTTAATCTGAAACCTGTACTGAATTCTAAATTATCCAACAAGTCATTTAAGATCAGAAAACATTCTGAAGACACTGTATTTTTCACAAATGAGTGTTACAGACTGACTGACTGTGTCCCCCCATCCCCACATTCATATGTTTATGCCCTAACCCCCAGTTTGGCTGTATTTGGAGATGGGGGCCTCTAAGGAAGTAAGCAGGGTTAAATGAAGTCATACTGTGGGGCCCTGATCTAATAGGATTACTGTTCCCATAAGAAGAGACACCAGAGAACACACTGTCTAGTTCATTCTCTCTCTCTCCCTGCCTCCCCCTGCCCAGGCCATGTGAGGACATAGTGAGAAGGTAGTCACCCTGGAAGCCAGGAAGACAGCCCTCACCAGAAACTGCATTGGCCAGAAACTTGATTTTGAACTTCCAGCCTCCAGAACTGTGAGAAAAAAAATTTCTGTTGTTTAAACCTTCCAGTCTATAGTACTTTGCTATGCTGACTACACAGACTATTCAGAAGAATAGTTTCAAACTGAGTTCCATCAAGCTTCTCTGAATGACTCCTAAAGGAGAGTGTGGTTATAACAGATACACTTAATTTGTTGCTCTTCCAAATGATCTCTCTTTCAATCCAAAATAACAGCTAGGTTCTGGAGCTTAATAAATGAAGTCTAAGGGTATTGTACCTTCAAGATATTTGAAAACTCCTGGTTTCTAAGGGATTTCAAGTAACTTTCTGAGCCAGACTGAAAAGGATAAAATGTTTCTAACCTTCTTTTGGATAAATTTGAAAGTTCACTTTCTTTATTTCCAATCTCAATGTGCTATGTAAATTTTATTTTATTATGCTTTCATTAAATCAGAATATTCAACAAATACTAAATCACAGCAAATTTTATGTATATTAATTTGCTTACATTTGAATTTTCTAATTGTACACATACAAAAAGTTTTAATATCAGAGAAAGCATCTTAAATTCTAAAATAAAGCTTGGCTAGAAATGTAAGGACTTATAATATTTGAGACCAATCAAATAACCTAATCATTAAATCTCAGGCACAATTTTATAACAGAGACATTAAAACCTCTGGATTACATGGCTCCAAATCAAATAAATAACACTTTATAAATGATGTTCTTCAATACTAAAGAAAAAATAGGCATTAGGAAGCCAAACTTTCCCTATGACTCAGGGAAGCAATAAAAGAAAAAGGTTGTTCATTCTGCTGCCTCATGGTGATTTTACATGCATTATGATTTTCAAGGCAGGAAGTCATGACACAACTGGGTGTTATGGACTGAAATGTGTCTCTTTAAAAAAGACATGTTGAAGCCAAACCCTCAATGTGACTTGAAGGAGGTCATAGGGATGGGGCCCTAATCTGATAGAACTGGTATCCTTATAAAAGGAACAGATACCAGAGAGCTCTCTCTTTCCTTGCATGTGCACAGAGAAAAGGCCATGGGAGAATACAGGAGGCAGTACCCTCTGCAAGCCAAGAAGACAGGCCTCAATAGAAACCAGTCCTGCTGGTACTTTCATCTTGGATTTCCAGCCTTGACCAGAACTATGAGAAAATAAATTTCTGTTGTTTAAGTCACCCAGTCTAGGACATTTTGTTATGGCAGCCCAAGCTTACTAATACACTGGGACCGGAACAGAACTAGTCCGGTTATTATCTTAGCTGAGTAGTATACTGTACTTAGCATATTAAAACATGCAGAGTCCCTATCCTGGGAATTCACAATTTGAGTTAAGCAATGTACCTAAGGAAAAATATTGTAGAAAAGTGGACATAGGGTTTTATATGTATGAGATGTTGGCTCTAGAAAGAATTATTTCAGACCAGATTTGGTCAAAAAGTGTTACCTTAAAGAAAGCAACTTTCAGAAAGTATCTAGAATACAGTTCACTGAGCTGTGGACACTAAAAAAAAAAAATAAAAAAAAATCTCAGAAACCCAAAATTGATAAGCATCAAAAAGCCCAATGAAAATTAAGAGGAAAGCCCAAAATAAAGATATCAATAGGAGCAAAATGCTGCTGAGTCAAGAACTACTGAGATTATAGATTTGACTTCAGGCTTCCTGCTTTTATTTCCACAGAGGGATGAAGTAAGGAAGACTCACTTTCCAAAGGTTAAGTGAACATTGGGGACTTGGCATCCCAAAGATAATGAAAACAAAACTGTAATAAAAACCAAAGCAAACTGAAGATTAAGTTTTAAGTAGAGACAAATGGGCAAGGATCTAATTTTATATCAGTGAGCAGTATCATTCAAGGAATAGAAATCAGCTTTAGATAACACAAAAATATTAAGAAGAGAAAAGAAAATCAATTCCGGTGGTAAAGGAAAAGAATAGCTTTTCTTTACAAATGAAAATGGATATTTTAATAGTGAAGAAAGGTGGTAACTTTTCTTTATATTTCTGTGTTAACCAAAATTTCTATATTCGATGTCTATTCACTATAGTCAGAAAACAAAAAATGTTTTTTAAAAAAAAGTTATCTTTCATATATAAGGTGACATTCATAATTCACTATTGTTGCTGGCATATTCATTATGTTTTTTTTCCATTAATTGTGATGGGTCAATGCTAATTTCTTACCAGCATTCCTCAGGATTCAATCATTCTTCATTGAGTGCCTACTCTGATAAGATTTCTACACAATCTGGAAACTATAAAGATAAATTAGAAATGGTCCTTGACCTCAAGTAGTTAACAATATAGTGAAGGAATCAGATAACAGATCAGTGATATGCAATTATGAGATTAATAATAGAAGTTTGAGACAGTGAAACTAATCCAATTTAACTGGCTGCTAAAGATGGCAAAATGTGGCTTCATTAATATCGTGATCTAATCAAAACAGGCAAATGAGGTTTTGGTGAAGAGGGTCACACATTGAAAACATGTCACCTGACAATATGTAATGTCATACTGGAGGAGGATGATAGGAATTAGCAGCATCAAGATGGCAGTTGTTGAATAACTCAAGTGAAGTCACAATTAAATTTCTATTTAAAGTGAGCTACATTATTGTCTCTCAGTATTCCCAAATGTGTTGTCTCGTTCTACTGTATTGGTACCCTCTCCTAATCGAAAGGATCTTGGAACTGAAATGTACTTTCTGTACACCTATTTGGCTCAGCCTCTAGATTCTGATTTCAGGGAGGCCCTCTTCTGTACTATTTTCCCCAGAGTTCCCATTACCTTTCCCCTCCTTTAATCTAGTTCTTAATCATTGCCAGAATATCCTGAAGTTGATAAAAAACAGTAGTGTACTAACATCCCTACTCCGGCCACTAAAACTTACAGCCAAATAAGATAGTTAGTTAACAGATCTTCATAATAATAGACCTCCAAGTGAAGCATCTCTTCCCAAAATGCGTGGGACCAGAAATGTTTCAGGTTTTGTTTTTTTTCAGATTTTAGAAAATTTGCATTATACTCCAGTCAGGCATCCCAAATCTGAAAATCTGAAATGCTCCAATGGGCATCTCCTTTCAACATTATGTTGGTGCTCAAAAAGTTTTAGATTTTGGAGCATTTAGGATTTAAGATTTTGGGATTTAAGGTGCTCACCCTGTACCACCACAGAAATGATCTTACTACTAGAATTCCTGAAACAACATGACATCATGAAATTATGGGTACCAAATATTAGACTTCGCAGTCTTCTAATTTTAAAAAATAGACAATGAACTTTCAAAATTGGGAAATAAAAGCTCTAATATAACTTATAGCATTCTTGCTTGTAGGGGAAGCTAGCATAACAAACTACTTTTATATATAAAAGACCCTTAAAATGTAATTTATCTAACTTAACCATCAAAGCTAACAAAATTTTAACAGGCTTCCGTGTGAACTAGATCCAACAATGAATTTATTCACAAACCTTTGACTTTAAACTGATATGTAAGGGTGAGGATACAAATGTGCGCAGGTGTGGGCATGTGACTGTCTATGTGTACCCACAAAAGTACATGAACATGTACATGAGATTGCATATATAGGATGAAAATAACAGAAATAAATAAAAATGATGATAGAAATTATAAATCTATTAATAACAATAAGTAAGACATTGAGACACTGAAGTATGGGAGAATTCAGTGCATGATGAATTAGTAAGTTTGAAATCTAAAACAAGAATGAAATAAATAGTCCCAAAAGAGAAGGAAAAAAGCATGATCAGGATTAGAAAGACAAAGAAAATTTTTATCAGTTTTCTTTTCAAGGAAATGTTGCAATCTTCTATATAAAGAAAATTAAATGAAAAAACTTAGCAAGAGGAAACTAAAAAAAAAAAAAAATCACCAAATATTCCTTCTTAACATACAGGGGAAATTTTATTCCTACATTTTAAGAGAAAATTAAATTGGAGAGAAAAAAATAGGCAAGTGGTTAGGATGATGGGAAAGGCAATTAATCCTCAGAGATTGCATGAAATTCTCTGATGAAAAGGAATAGAATACCTCACATATGAAAATGGGACAACAGAATCAGAGGATGCCCTTATCTAAGAAGTATGGAATTACCGAAAATTGGAAGCTTAAATACTAAGACTACATCAGGTCCCAGCTAGCTCCATGAATTATAATTTGAAAAAAATTTGAAGAGAATGAACTAGTAAGAAGTTCTACAAAACAGTGAGAAAGTGGTTAGTTAGGTGAACAAGAGAACTGACTTTACATGAACAGAACTGAAAACACCTAAAATGGAAAGATCTAAAAGATTCAGGGGCAGAAAGTAGGAGCATACAGCAGGTTGTCTTGGGCTGAATCTAGGCTCACAGAGCCAGGAACAAGTATAACTATTTAATGTAGGATGATGTTTTTTGACAACTCCATGTAATTATGAGAGGATTTGCACATTGGTATTTAAATTTTAATGCATGTGACACATTTCAACAAAACATCTACTACATGAAATTTTTAGATTTATATAAAAATAGAGCACTCTTTTGGAGAATACCAGTGTTGGATCATGGATTAAGAGACAAGCTACATGCTGACTTAGTATTTGTTTCTTATGACAGTAGATATCACAACTGCCTAAAGGATTATTCAAATGACAATTTTTTGAATGGGGGAACATTTGGTTTGGTCACAGTATATTAAGATCCAAACCTGTAGCCAGGCATGGTTGCTCACACCTGTAATCCCAGCACTTTGGGGGGGCTGAGGTGGAGGATCACTTGAGGCCAGCAGTTCAAGACTAGCCTGGGCAACATAGTGAGATCCCATCTCCACAAAAAATTGAAAAAAAAGAAAAAGACTCAAACCTGCAAAGAGTACTTCTCCACATCGAATAGGTTTCCGTGGTCTTGTTCTTGGTCCTTGCATTAATGGTCGTTCTTGAGGCAATAGGAGGTAGTTTTTAGCTTCATCTACCAAGTCTCTGTAGAAAAAAAATTGTGCCTTTATTCCAAATGTCTAAATAACATTGCTAGTCAGTTCCTGTACAAATTATGAGATTAAAAAAAACAAACAAAAAAACATTGTTAGTCAAGACCCAGCATGGTTTAGGAATACATAGGTTGGCAAAGGGGAGCAAGCATAAATTAAAACAAATCATGAATGTTGGCCAATATTAAAATTAGAACACACATGAAAGCAATGATGTCAATCACACTATGAGTTGTTGTGAACTGCCTGGTATTTCCATCATGACTTTGTATCTCAGTGAATATTTAGCCTGAAGCTAAATTTGCTCTTTCACTTTTATAACTGGGGCATGCTGGGGAAAAATGGTTAAAAATGCCAGATAGTTTTAGATTTGAACCTAAATCTTAAAATCTGTCAAATTGGGAAAGTAACTTATTAAATTTTATATACATATCTCAGAGACAACCTGGTAAAATAGGGGTTTTTCTTCCCTTTGTGAAAGCAGTTAGAGTTTCTTTTGTCAAAAAACATCTGGAAACTGCTTCACCTTGTTCTAGTGGAAATCTTCCCATAGCTACTTTAGGAGGTGGTAGATCTTTAACTATCTATAATCTTAGAAAGCAAGCCTAGTCCTATTCCCCAACTAGACATATGTAATGGAATGAAAAAGCACTCACTAACAAAGTTGACAGCATTAGTCAATTTATCTCAAGAAAAAAAATATTAGCAGGGAACCTACTCTTCAAATTCAAGTTTGCATTAAAATCTTAGAATTACATCTCTTTAATGCCACTTCCACATCAGTAAGCACCACATATAAAAAAACAAATGGAATGCAAAACTGGAATTTCAGTCTTCTCTTCTTCCTTCTCCTCCGCTTGGCCCTCGCACAGCAGAAAAACCTGTTAAATACAGCCTTAGTTTCAGCTCTAGGAAATACAGTATTTCGGAAGCAATACACATAAGGAAATCAAGAGAAAATAGGGATGATTAGGTGCTGATTTTTTTTCCCATCCAGGGCCATGCATACCTGCATTCTTCATCACTTTTGATGAGGGGATCAGAGCCTACTGTGCCCACCAGGAACTTGGGACTAAGCAAAGGCAAACGAACATGCTGCAGCACCTATGAGAGATAAACACCACTGGCATGAGCTCCCATCTGCAAGATGTTTAAGAGAATACATGACCCATGCTCCCCTACTGTGCTTCCCATTGTTTTGAGATCTACTTGAATACCATAAATAAGGAAGAAGAAGGAAAAGCATAAACACTAAAACTAAATTAAATTTATTCTAACCATCAATTCAGTAATGCAGAATAATCTGAAAATTAAAAGCATATTAATGTCACTTTAGAATGCTACTTTAAGCTTTCAACAATATAAGTGCTTCTATAATTGGTCTCAAATTAATTAACAAGCCAGAAGAATATCCTGTTAAATTGCTAAAACCTATGGTCATAATAACAAGAATGGGTCTTAAACATTTCACTCAGTGACCACCATGCCCCAATTCATCTCTTTACTTCTCAAAGTGTGGTAGAATTTCCAAGTTATAGGGAAGGGAAACATGCGGCAGGATTTCCAAGCCACAGGAAAAGAAGTATCCTTGCTTTCTTTTGTTCATTATTTATACAGTGTAAGTTCTGAATTGTGCTATAGCTTAAATGTAGAGGGGAAGTGTAGCTCCAAAATAGAGGGGAAGCAAAGGAGCAAAAAGTCCACAATAATAAGCAATCAAAATGCTTCCAAACTCTTATTTCCTTGATTATTTGGAAAGATGAACTTTCTTACACTCTGTAAATGAGAGTGATAATTGTTTCATTCTTGCAAGATAAACGTGTATTATTTCATCTAGCACAAAGCAGTTTCTTAGAGAAGCATTCTGTCATTACCTGGGGTAACTGAGGACGTCTTTCTTGAATACTGTATTTGACCCAAGCCATCACTGCATTGAACACTTGTTCTTCACTGCGAACGTTTAGCTCATCACTAGATATTATATCAATGAGTTGATTGGCTGGAAGTAACATGAACTCTTCACTCTCCATTACCTATTCAAAGTTAGGTAAGAAGAAAAGAAAAACAGCTGTGATTACATTTATTGTCTCCATGTTTTTCTTCAGGGTTATGGAGCAAAGCTCTATTCCACAGTAGAACTGAAGTTTAAAATAGAAGAACATAAAGTTTAAAAAGAGAACAAAGGAAACCCAGAGGACACAAAATTTAGCAAAAATAATCATTTGTGATTCAAGCAATTTAAGAAAAATGAGTATCCTTAAAAATAAAGGATCAAAATAAAAATTTATATCCAAAATAAGCCAAATTAACTTCAAGTTATAACTCTAGAAATATGAGAGGCATATAAAAAGTCAGGAAAAGCTTTCAGAGGAAGATTAGTTGTTGAAGGGGCAGTGTCTAGGGTAGAAACACCAAGAGGTCAGTCTAAAAAAAGAATGAGGATGTCAGCAATTTTGCAAGCAAGAATGAATATAATGAGGAGATAATAAGACCAATGAAAACCTCTGAGGACCAAACCACTCTAATATATATGCCAGTGAGAAACTATAAACATACTAATAATTTATCTGTACCCAAGGCTAGGGAACTGTTTGTCAAAAGGGAGATGAAATGGCAATACAGATCTTACCCTGTTGTGCAGGCCAGCCACAAATTCCAAGACCTTGTAAGCCTATACATCAGCATGTAGTGTAAAAATGACAGGGTGCACTGTTACCCTTCACTGGGTTTGTGCTATTACTCAGGAGATTATGCTACATGTGATATCTTTTAGTACAGGCAGGATATGGTTAAGAACTCATATTCCTAGTGTGCTATCTCTAATGTAGACGATGGGTTCTCTTGGGAAAGAGTCATTTTCACATGCATCAAAAAAGAATATTTAACAGGATATGAGATCAGCCATAAAAACAATTTAAATATTTGATTAAGACTGTTTTCCTCAAGTACATTAGGAAAAAATGCAAATCTCAAAAGAAAACAGTTAAAGGCCATAAGGCCAATTATACTTATAGTAGAAATACTAATGAGCACTTCAATTTTTATGGCACAAGTCTTCACATCATTTGAGAGACTTTTTGAAGTTCAGGAAATTAAATAGGTGACCTTTAAATTTTAGCTGAGGTTGCTTAGTCAGGTAACATGGTAATTAGAATGGTTGCATTTTACTTTCTATAGTAAGGTTGTCAGATTTAGCAAATAAAAATACAAGACATACTAAAAATTATTTGTAGTTTACCTGTAATTTAAATTTAATTGGGTGCCCCGTATTTTACCTGTCAACCATATGTTGGGTGATTATAAAGTCCAGAGCCAAATTTGAGGCCTACCTTAATTAAGTGTGATGGTCTTCACAGTATGCAAAATCGTAGCTATGGCTGTGTCTTTCCTATTCCTTATTTTCTGTTCTCTCTGAATTCTTCACGTAAGGACAAGTATGGCATCCTTTATCTTTGTGGAGTGCCGTAACATTCTTTTTAGATTTAGTTAGAGTATAAATTTTTTCCCCAACATAGTGATTATAAGTCAAATGTTATATAAATATCAATGAGCACCAAGTTTAAAGTTTATGATTAAACCACAAAGACATGAACAACTCATTTAATGGAAACATGACATGGCAGGAAGACATGAAAATTTGTGTGAGAAAACATTTGTTTGGCACTATGAGCAAAGAGGAAAAATAATAAGTCTGGCTAAAATGCCACTTCTCCTTTTTCCAACACCAACAAAAAGATATTAATGACATACCATTAGGGCAAATCTAGCACAGAAGTCTATCCTTGAACCAAACAACCAGTTTAAGAAAATAATGCTCAAAATATCTGCTCCTAAATAAGAGTTTAGAGGAGATCTGAGCTTTAAGCCATACACTATTATAATAATCAGCTTACTTTTAGTTTCTTCAGATGACTGCAGAAGCTATTTGAAGAATGAATAAAGCTGAAAACAAACAAGAATGAATAAGCAAACTCATCTGGAGTTAACAGAAGTATTTGGTAAACTTAGTGCTGCTGAGTTTAAAGACAATTTAAAAATTTATGTTTATGGGCAAGAGTAAAACTGTATGAAGTAAATTAGGTCTAATGAAATAGTAGGAAATTAAATATACATTTGATTAAGAATAACCTAAATTAGTAGCAAGTGATCCTCCTGCCCAAGCCTCCCCAGTAGCTGGGACTACAGGTGCACACCATCACACCCAACTAATTTTTCTATTTTTTATAAAGAGTTGCTTAGGCTGGTCTACAAATCCTGGCCTCAAGGGATCCTCCTACCTTTGCTTCCCAAAGGTGAGCCACTGAGCTGGCCTATATTTACTAAAAGCAACTAGACAAAAGAAAACAATCAGAGGCATTAACAATTGGAAAGGAAGAAATAAAACTACTGATAAGGAGATGACATGGGATGTCAAGAAAACTCTGAAGAATCAATAGTAAAAGTAACTCAAAGAATAAAAAAATTCAGTGAGGTAGCTTTCCTATACATTGATAATAAGTTAGAAACAATAATGGAGGAAAAAACCTATTTTCACTAGCAACAAAAAATATTCTTAGAAATAAACTTATAAAGAAGAATATAAAACCTAGATGAATGAAACTACAAAACATTCCTGACAGATAAAAAAGTAAAACTGAAGAAATGAAATCTTGTTCATGGATGGGACAACTCAATATCATAAAAATGACTGTTCCTAAGTTAACTTAATGAATATACCAACAAGTTTTTTTCTTGGGACTGGATAAGAAATTTACTACTACTGAAATTTATCTGGAAAAATAAAAGTGCAATACAGTTAGGAAAGCACTGAAGAGTTACATGGGGGGCCTGGGGTTACTAGCCCTACCACATAATAAAATACATTACAAAGCCTTAGTAATTAAACTATTATAGAGAGCAGTGTTGTACTGGTACATAGCCCAGAACAAAAGGTCCAAAAGCAAGTACGCATACAAATTCGGTATATAATAAAGATGCTATCTCAAATCACTGAGGCAAAGAAAGACTCTTAAATAAATAGTACTGGGACTAGATGGCCATTTGGAAAAAGACAAAATCAGTTTATTTCACACCATACACAAAGATGAACTCAGAGAGACTATACATATGCTAGAAAAAATATGTGTAAATTTCTCTATAATCTGGGTTTGGGGAGGCCTTTCAAACTCTACCTCAAAATCTAGAAGCAATAAAAGATTGATATATTTGACAATGTTAAAAAAAAAAGCCAAAAATTTTTGCATGGCCAAAAATACAATAAGCAAAGTTGAAAGATAAATGCAAACTAAAACAAAATATTTGTAACATGAATCACAGATGAAAAGCTATCATTGTTAATACGTAGAGAACTTTAAAAATTTGAGGGGATTAAAAGACCAAGAATCTAATATAGAAATGGGCAAAAGATATTAAAACACAATTCAGAAGAATTATAAAAATGGCCCATCACATATGAAAGATGTTAAACTTTACTTATTTTAAGAGAAATACAAATTAAAAATACACTGAAATTCCATTTTCATCTATTTAATTAGCAAAAAATTCAAAAAGGTTGACAGTACATTCTGTTGGTGAGGCTGTGGGGAAAAATAGTCATCTTCATACATTACTGGTTGGAATGGTTCGTTCCCTATAGAGGGGAGTTTAGTGATACTTAACAAAATTACATATACGGTTAAACGTTGGCCCTGCAATCCAATTTCTAGGAATTTATACTGAAGATAAAACCTCCAACAATACTGAAATATTGATACACAGGCTATTCATTGCAGCATTATTTGTAATGGCAGACTTTTTTTTTTTTTGAGACAGAGTCTCACTCTGTTGCCTGGGCTAGAATGCCGAGGCGTCAGCCTAGCTCACAGCAACCTCAAACTCCTGGGCTCAAGCAATCCTTCTGCCTCAGCCTCCGGAGTAGCTGGGACTACAGGCATGCGCCACCATGCCCGGCTAATTTTTTCTATATACATTTTTAGTTGTCCAACTAATTTCTTTCTATTTTTAGTAGAGATGGGGTCTTGCTCTTGCTCAGGTGGGTTTCAAACTCCTGACCTTGAGCAATCCTCCTTCCTCAGCCTCCCAGAGTGTTAGGATTACAGGCGTGAGCCACTGCACCCGGCTGGATTATTTATTTATTTTGAGACAGTTTTGCTCTGTTGCTCCAGCTAGAGTACCTTGGAGTCATCATAGCTCACTGCAACCTCAAGCTCCTGGGCTCCAGCATCTTCTTACCTCAGCCTCCTGAGTAGCTGGGACTATAGGTGCATACCACCATGACCGGCTAATTTTTGCTATTTTTTGGTAGAGACGGGATCTCGCTCTTGCAGGCTGGTCTTCAACTCCTGGGCTCAAGCAATCCTCCTTCCTAGGCCTCCTAGAGTGCTAGGATCACAGGCATGAGCTGGCCTGTAATGCTGGCCTGTAATGGCAAAATATTTAAAACTACCCGAATGCTCAAACATTGGAGACTAACTGAATAAACAGTGGTACACTCACACAAGGAGTACAATGCAGCTACGAAGAAAGAACAAGGAAGATCTCTATGAACTGATATGGAATGAATTCCAGAATATATTAAGTAAAAGGCAAAGTGTAGAAAGAAGTAGAAAGAAGAAAACATATATGTATCTGTTTAATTTTGTAAAAGAAAACACAGGAAGGATAAACCAGAAACTACCAATCATCAAAATAATAAATAGCAACAAAGGACTACAATCCGCTGAATAGAGTAACAACAGTCCATGAGTCCAAAATGTTAATCAATCAACCAATCAACCAATAAGGAACAAGGAAAGCTCTTTTGTACAGCAGAATTAGATAGAAAAATGGAGTTTAAAAAACCCCAAGAACTTTGCAATCATCATAATAAGTGTTCAGAAGGAAAGAAATATGAAAGGAATGAAAGAATATGAAAGGAGCATAAGGCCAGGCCACCGGTGGCTAACACTCTGGGAAGCCAAGGTGGGAGGATCACTCCAGGCCAGGAGTTTGAGATCAGATTGAGCAAGAGCACGAACCCCTCTCTACAAAAAATAGAAAAATTAGCCAAGCGTTGTGGCATGTGCCTGTAGTCCCAGCTTCTCAGGAGGCTTCGGCAGGAAGATGGCTTGAACCCAGGAGTTTGAGGTTGCAGTGAGCTATGATGATGCCACTGCACTCTAACCAGGGGTGACAGAGCGAGACTCTGTCTCCCCTACACCCTCAAAGAGAGTATAGGAGTATTCAGGAGTAAAGGAATATGATATATGTAACATATTCTCCAGCTGCTCAGAAAAAAATATTTATATAAACAAGGAAAGAATGATAAGGTAAATGAGGCAAAATGTTAACAATTGGTAAATCTGGGTAAAGGGTATACGAAAGTTTTGTCGTATTCCTACAGTTTCTTGTAAATTTGAATTTTTTTCAAATAAATTTTAAAAATTATTTTTCCAAACTGATAGGTATCTTGTTTTGATGCATGTTTCTTTAATAATACATGAGGCTGAGCATCTTTTCATATGTTTATTTTCCATTTAATTATCTTTGTTTAACACATTGCTTATTCATATCCTTTGCCTATTTTTCTATTGTGTTTTTAATGTTTTTTCCTAATTGAATTTGTATGAGCTTTATGGGAATTAGCATTTTTTTCTGTCATGTAAGGCACCAAATAGGTTTTCTGAGTTTAACATTGATTTTTCAGTTCATGGTGCTTTTTGTTGTTGTTATAAAGAACAAAAAATGTATGCAATCAAATTTATTAATTAGTCTCTTTTTTTTATGACTTTTGAGTTGTATGTATCTTGCTTAGATCCTTCCCTAGTACCAAGATATTTGCAATGTTTTAATATTTCTTAAGGCCAATGGACCTAATACTCACTATCAGAAACTTTCTCCTTATTCCAGCATATACACATATTCCCCTCTTCTTAAAACAATCCATCCCTTCCTTTGCATTTCATGAACCCATGCTTCTAGTTTTCTTCTTGTCTCTGCTCTAGTTATTCCAGTTATGTTTGTCAGTTGGTCTTTTACTAATTATCCCTCAATATTGGAAAAATTTTAGGGCTCTTCTCTTCTCTTTCCCACACAAGTCATCTCATCAGTACGGATTTGTTGACCCTGTTTATGGTGTCTTTTGTTATAAAAAGTTATAAAATTTTATGCAATTAAATTTATCAATCTTTTCTTTTATGACATTTGGGTTATATCCTGCTTAAAAATGGTTAGGCCATGGCTTAATTACTATGTTGATGACTCCTAAATTTTAATCTCAGCCTAACCTCTTTTCTAAGGAACAGACTTATATAAATAGTTCCTTGTTCAATATCTCTACTTAGATATCTCACAGGTATCTCAAAAACTGAACAAATCTAAAACAGAACCCATAATCTTACTTCCTCAAACTGTTCCACTCTCCAGTATCTGTAGTACAAAGTCCCAGAAATGGGACTGCAGAGTCAAAAAAGTGTGTGATTTGATGGACACTGCCAAATTTCCTTTCAAAAAGGTTATACAAGTTACACTCATATTAGTAACGTACTTATTTACCCACAGCCTTAACAACAGGGTGTACAGTCAAATTTCTGGATATTTGTAATCTGTAGATAAAATGGTACTTTGGTGTAATTGCAAGTTTTAGTTATTCTGAATAAACTTCAGCAGATTTTTATGTTTAAGTGCAATTTGAATTTCTTTTCTGTTTACTGCTCATTTTTCTGTTAGGTCATTGGTCTAGGTTACTTAAAGAGATTAACTTTCTGTCTGTGATGAGTTGCAAATATTTTCCCCTAGTTCGTCTTTGACTTTTATCTTGTTATTCTTGTTTTGCCATGCAGAGAATTTTGAGTTTTGTGTAGTCAAATCTATCAATTTTATCTTCTGTATCTTCTGTATTAGTTGGAGAGACCTTTTTTACTTCAAGATTATAAAGCAATTGTTCCATGTCATTCTAATATTTTCATGGTTTCATTTTTTATGTTTAAATCTTTGAGCCACTGGAGATTTTCCTTGTGAACAGAGGGTGATATTAAAGTATGAAATAGACCATGTTTTTCCTTTGTTAAAACCCTTTAATGGTTTTCTATCACTTTTAAAATTAAATTTCAATTTCAATTTGTCCCTCTTTTTTCTGTGAAATCATTATGTAACATCCTCTACCCTCTTGTTCTCTGGGTCTGTTTTTTTTTTTTTTTCCAGTTCTTCAAACTATCCTTTGCAATGTCTCTCTCAGGATTTTGTATGAGCTATTCCAAACCAAAGTTAAATTTCTCTGTAGTACACTCTTAAATCATCCAGGGCTATTTCTTTGTAGCACCCATGAACTGTAATTAATTATTTATATAATTATGCATTTAATGACTGTCTTCACTGCTAGATTATAAACTCCATGAGTACAGAGAGTCTAGGTTTCTTGTTCACTATTGTAGCCTATGTTCCCAAGGACAGTGGCTGAAACATATTAGGTTTACCAATATTTGTTAAATGAATATGTGAAAAATAGCAGGCTTAATGAAAATCCTTTTGATACCATCTAAATTCATCTTTCCTGCTTATTAGTTCACCAAATAACCTCTAATTTATAATTTATTCTAAAGAATCCACAAATGACTAATACTAGATATCCTGTCAGGCACAGATCCTCCTGTCAAGTAATGAACTATATTTTAGATTATAAATTAGCTTTTTATGAATATGGCTGGGAAGCATCAATCCCTAAACCTTAACTTTTGCAGACAGAACACAAAACTGGCTTGTAAGATCAAAACCAGGTTTAGGGTTTATAACAACTTATTTCTTTTGATGTTATGAGTTAGAATCAGCAGTAAATACTCGGGCAAGTGTTATCAGCTTGTGAACCCACATTGCTCTCCTGACAAATAGGTTGTTAATGCATTCAAACCACCCAGTGCAACTCACCTCTTGGAAGTTATGTTGAGTGAACTTGTCTGCTATCCTTAGCAACTCGCGACATGAATGTGTGTCAGCAAAAGCCCGAATGCCTAGGCAGTTAGAAGGATCTAATTGTCTCTTTAAGAATTCACAGCAGGCTTCCTGTATTTCTGCCAGCTGGAGGAGACAAGCAGCTGGCAGAAGGGTCTGAACATTGCCCTCCTCCACAGTTATCTGGGAGGTATATGCAAAGTCAATCAGTAGTTCCATAGCCCTCTCATCTATGTCTCGGATCACTACTTCTGTCTGACGGCTTTCTGCCAATTCTCCTGTAAACATAGCTCGGAAGTAGGGGCTACAGGCTGACAAAATGACTCGATGGGCGTATATCTTCTTAGCGCCCACAACTAGCACTACATCACATAGCTCCCGGTGCTTTCTCAGAAGGTTAATGACTTCCAAGGTTTGTCGAGGGTGCTTGTCAGAGATATAGGGCATGCGGGCAGGTTGGGGAACCCCTTCTGGCAGTTTGTTGGGGTCTCCAAGGGTGCAGCGGCTTGTTACATCCATTCCAGACTCTCCTGGTCGAATGTTGGTACACCTAAAGGATTGGGGGGGGGGTGGAGAGAAGATGACAATATTATTATAAGTTTACTTCTGCTCTAGAGTGTTCAGAAGTCAAGAGATAGAGAAATCTGCAATTACCAAAAGAGAGAACTAGGTCCCCATAGAACCCCATCTCTAAAAACTCTAGAACTCCTAAACTTCCTTAAAGTCTCTTGCCAAATGAGTGGTATTAATTCCAAGTCAGAGCACTTCCCTAAAATAAATGACAATTCTTTTTTCAACCCAGAAGTAGTCAGATTATCTGGGACCACATCTCTTACAACATTAAGAAATATTTATAAAAAACATTTGTAGGCCGGGCATGGTGGCTCACACCTATAATCCTAGTACTCAGGGAGGCCAAGGAGGGAGGATCACTTGAGGTCAGGAGTTCGAGACCAGCCTGAGCAAGAGTGAGACCCCATCTCTACTAAAAATAGAAATTAATTGACCAACTAAAAAAAAAAAAAAAAAATATATATATATATATATATATATATATATATACACACACACACACAAAAATTAGCCAGGCATGGTGGTGTGTGCCTGTAGTCCCAGCTACTCTGGAGGCTGAGGCAGGAGGATCGCTTGAGCCCAGGAGTTTGAGGTTGCTGTGAAGTAGGCTGATGCCACGGCACTCTAGCCCAGGCAACAGAGTGAGACTCTGTCTCAAAACAAAACAAAAAAACCAAAAACCCAAAAAAACCGCCAAGACATTTGTAAATGATTCTCTCTGCACAAAACAGATCTATGAACTTTAATTTCTATATCTGGTTTAATCAAAAGCTTGATATTTGTTATTTTTCTAAAACATCTGGTGTTTCTCATTCTGACTGGGTGTTATTTTAAATTTGTATAAGGTTCAGCACAAAATCTGTAAAATACAGCTCATGTTGCACGAAAAGATCAAAAGGAAAATAGGCGAGGGTCCAAAAAATTAACTTTATATGTAATACTATATTTCTTTGATTCTAAGATGCATGCTTTTCATAGTTTAATATTTAATGAAAATTAGAAATAATCCAAAGCTGATGTCAAAGACATTTGCCAGCTACCAGATAGAGAGGCTATGATCAATTGTTACTGCCCTCATATGGAAATTTTGGCTACATTTCTTGAAACAGATAATATATTTTTCAAAGCCAGGAGAAGCCTATGTGACAGATTCTTATATCAGAAAATGACAAATGCTCAGGATTTGAGAACTTCTGGTTAACTTTCAAGGGAAGAGATTTTACTCCAAATGATACATAATTCATTTAAAAAGTCTTATCATTTAACCAAACAGGATATATGTCTTTGTTATGTCTCAAAATTACACAATTACAATGGTTCTAAAGAAGCAAAAAAAGAAAAAAAACCCCACACAGGAATCCCCCCACCACAAACACACAGGTTATATTAAGTAGTGTGTCACTGTGATACCACAGATAGTTGCTGAGCACCAAACAATTCAGAGGATTCTTTAGTCTCTGAAATACAGGAACGTTTAGAATCAAATTTTGATCATAATACTGAAGAAAACTCAGTACAGGCATACCTGTTTTATTGTGCTTTGATTTATTGCACTTCACAGATACTGCATTTTTAATGAACTGAAGGTTTGTAGCAACCCCGCATTGAGCAAGTCTATCAGCGGCATCCTTTTTCCAATACCATGTGCTCACTTTGGGTCTCTGCATCACATTTTGGCAATTCTTGCATTATCTCAGACTTTTTCATTGTTATTATATTTTTCATGGTGATCAATGATTTTAGATGTCACCATTGTAATTATCTGGGATGCTACAAACTGCACCCATGTAAGACAGTGAACTTAATCAATAAATGTGTGTGTTCTGATTGTTCCACCATCTGTTCTGCCCTATCTTTCTCCTCCTCGAGCCTCCCTATTCCCTGAGACAACAACATTAAAACTAGGTCAATTAATAATCCCCCACAATGACCTATAAGTGTTCAAGTGAAAGGAAGAGTTGCATGTCTCTTTAAATCAAAAGCTAGAAATGATTAAGCTCAGTGAGGAAGGCGCCTTGGAAAGCCAAGATGGGCCAAAAGGTAGGCTTCTTGTGCCAAACAGCCAAGTTGTGAATGCAAAGAAAATGTTCTTGAAGGAAATTAAATCTGCTCCTCCAGGGAACACATGAATGATAAGAAAGGGAAACAGCTTTATGGTTGATGTGGAGAAGTTTTAGTAGTCTGGATAGAAGATCAAACCAGCCACAACATTCCCTTAAACCAAAGCCTAATCCAGAGCAAGGTATTAACTCTGTTCAATTCTATGAAGGCTGAGAGAGGTGAGGAAGGTGCAGAAGAAGAGCTGGAAGCTAGGAAAGGTTGGTTTATGAGGTTTAAAGTATACAGTGAAAGAGTACGTGCTGATGTAGAAGCTGTAAGTCATCCAGAAGATAACTGATGAAGGTGGCTACTCTAAACAACAGATTTTCAATGTAGATGAAACAGCCTTCTTTTGGAAGAAGAAGCCATATAGGACTTTCATGGCTAGAGAGAAGTCAATGACTGGCTTTAAAACTTCAAAAGACAGGTGACTTTCTTGTTAGGGGTTAATGCAGCTTGTAACTTTAAATTAAAGCCAATGTTCATTTACCATTCTGAAAATCCTAGGGCCCTTAAGAATTATGTTAAATGGTCTACAGTCATACCACCATGAATGCACCCAATCTTGTCTGATCTTGGAAGCTAAGCAGCATTCGGCCTGGTTAGTACTTGGATGGGAGAGTATTGCCTGCCACCTGGCAATACTGGGTACTGTAGGCTTAAAAAAAGTTATGCCAAATCTACTTTGCCTGTGCTCTATAACAACAAAGCCAGGATGACAGCACATCTGTTTACAGCATGGTGTACTGAATATTTTAAGCCCACTGTTGCAATCTACTCCTCAGAAAATAAGATTCCTTTCAGAATATTACTGCTCATTGACAATACACCTAGTCACCCAAGAGCTCTGATGGAGCTATACAAGGAACTGAATGTTGTTTCCATACCTGCTAACACACTATCCATTCTGCAGCCCATTGATCAAGGAGTCATTTTGACTTTCAAGTCTTATTATTTAAGAAATATATTTTATAAGGCCATAGCTGTCATAGATAATGATCCCTCTTATGGATATGGGCAAAGTCAATTGAAAACCTTCTGGAAAGGATTCACTATTCTAGATGCAATTGAGAACATTATGATTGGCCGGGCGCGGTGGCTCACGCCTGTAATCCTAGCACTCTGGGAGGCTGAGGCGGGCGGATTGCTTGAGGTCAGGAGTTCCAAACCAGCCTGAGCAAGAGCGAGATCCCGTCTCTAATATAAATACAAAGAAATTAATTGGCCAACAAATATATATAGATAAAATTAGCCGGACATGGTGGCGCATGCCTGTAGTCCCAGCTACTCGGGAGGCTGAGGCAGAAGGATTGCTTGAGCCCAGGAGTTTGAGGTTGCTGTGAGCTAGGCTGACGCCATGGCACTCACTCTAGCCTGGGCAACAAAGTGAGACTCTGTCTCAAAAAAAAAGAACATTCATGATTGATGGGAGGAGGTCAAAATATCAACATTAACAGGAGTTTGAAAGAAGTTGATTCCAACTGTCATGGATGACTTTGAGGGGTTGAAGACTTCAGTAGAGGAAGTCACTACAGATGTGGTGAAAACAGCAAGAGAACTAAAATTAGAAGTGGAACCTTAAGATGTGACTGAATTGCTGCAATCTCACACAGATGACGAGTTGCTTCTTACGGATATGCAAAGAAAGTGGTTTCTTGAGATGGAATCTACTGGTGAAGATTTGTGAACACTGTTCAAGTGACAATAAAGGATCTACAATATTATATAAACTTAGTTGATAAAACAGCAGCAATGCTTGTGAGGACTGACTCTAATTTTGAAAGAAGTTCTATTGTGGGTAAAATGGTATCAAACATGTATCATATGCTACAGAGAAATCTTTCCTGAAAGGAAGAGTTAACTGATGTGGCAAACTGCATTGTTGTTTTATTTTAACAAATTGCCACGGCTACCCCAACTATCAGCAACCATCACTTTGATTAGTCAGCAGCCATCTACATCGAGGCAAGACCTTCCATCAGCAAAAAGAGTAGTATTCAGATGATCATTAGCATTTTCTAGCAATAAAATATTTTTAAATTAAGGTATGTACTTTTTTAAAAAAGATATAATGCTACTGTACACTTGTTACACAGTATAGTGTAAACATAACTGTTGTATGCACTGGAAAACCAAAGAATTAATGTGATTCACTTTACTGCCATACCTGCTTTTTTGCAATGGTCTGGAACTGAATCTGCAATATCTCCAAATTGTGCCTATATTATTTATATGGCTAAATATGTGCTATATTATCAGCTAGGTAAGAAATTTTTTTGTAATTTTAATGAAGTATTTATATTTCTAAATATAAATGCCATTAAGAACATTCATGATTCATGGGAGATGGCCAAAATATCAACTCTAACAGGCATTTGAAAGAAGTTGATTCCAACCCTCATGGATGACTTTGAGGGGTTCAGGAGTTTAGTGAACAAAGTCCAGTATTTATATTTCCGAAAAGTTATCAAATCAACGCTGTGTCCTAAGTGAGAAAACACAGTAAATAACCATGAAGTTAATTATAATAGTTTGTTCCTAACAAGGCAAAGAATCAAATCAAATATTTTACATATCAGTCAGAGAGAGAAATGAATGAGTATGAAGAGTTAAAATTTCTTTCCCTACATAAGTTGGACTGAGTCAAACCACAGATGTCTTACAATATTTTACTTTTATTTAAAAAGTTACATAAAAGTTGCTGAGGCCTCTTTGGGTTTAAAAAAAAGTTACATAACAGTGAAATTTTACTTAAGTTTTCTTTTATTTTTTTCTCCCCAAGTCCAATAGCTCTGATACTTGAGTACTATGGCTATTTTGTTATAATTTTGATATTTATATAGTCTTTCTAGCAATTGCTAATCAAAATGGCCTCTG